TTCAATAAGAAAACGATGAATACTCCAGAGAGAAATGGGCAAAGTTTAGATTAGAGGATTGCCCAAACAGATGTTTAAAAAAAGATGCAAAAACAAATTCAACCTATTTACTAATCAAAGAAATGCAATGAGGTACTGTTTGCCATTTTGGCAAATTGGACTCAGAAGCCCCCAAAACAAGAAAAATATGTAAAAAAAAAATTCAAGCTCATTAATAAGCAAAGAAATACAATAAGATACCATTTATCACCGCCCCGATTGGCAAAGAATGAAAAAAAAATGATTAACTTGGTGTGCTGATGAAGGAAGCAGGGGCAGAGAAAACATACCAGTTCACACACTGTGATGATCAGACATAAAGAGAAAAAAACAGCAGAATGCTGGAGCAAAATAAGTGCCAGGGCAAGAGAATTAAGGGTGGTGAAAGATGAACCAAAGGCTGCGCTTTTTCTGTCATCCTAATATTAACCTCTATATCTTTAAATAGTATATTTAAATAACATCTCTTGAATTTTTCACTTTAAGAGATTATCTACCAAGTCAGTTCTGTTACATCATCTTTCACTCCTTTCCCATCTCCCAGCTTCTCTCTCCCAAACTTCCCAATCCATCACTTTTAGACCATATCTACCCTGGAGGAGGGCATGGCAACCCACTCCAGTATTCTTGCTTGGAGAATTCCATAACCAGAGGAGCCTGGCGGGCTAACATATAGTCCATGGGGTCACAAAGAGTCAGACACAACTGATTTGCCATGCAGACACCATTGTTTATCTGCAGATTTAACTTTTATGCAGAGTGCATCATGAGAAATGCTGGACTGGATGAAGAAGCACAAGCTGGAATCAAGACTGCCAGGAGAAATATCAATAACCTCAGATATGCAGATGACACCACCCCTATGGCAGAAAGCAAAGAACTGAAGAGCTTGATGAAAGTGAAAGAAGAGAGTGAAAATGTTGGCTTAAAACTCAACATTCAGAAAACTAAGATCATGGCATCTGGTCCCATCACTTCATGGCAATAGATGGGGAAACAATGGAAACAGTGACAGACTTTATATTTTTGGGCTCCAAAATCACTGCAGATCACAGTGACTGCAGCCGTGAAATTAAAAGACACTTGCTCCCTGGAAGAAAAGTTATGACCAACCTAGACAGCATATTAAAAAGCAGAGACATTACTTTGCCAACAAAGTCTGTCTAGTCAAAGCTATGGTTTTTCCAGTAATCATGTATGGATGTGAAAGTTGGACTATAAAGAAAACTGAGCACCGAAGAATTGATGCTTTTGAACTGTGGTGTTGGAGAAGACTCTTGAGAGTCCCTTGGACATCAAGGAGGTCCAACCAACCTATCCTAAAGGAAATCAGTCCTGAATATTCATTGGAAGGACTGATGCTGAAGCTGATAATCCAATACTTTGGCCACCTGATATGAAGAACTGACTCATTTGAAAAGACCCTGATGCTGGGAAAGATTTAAGGCAGAGGAGAAGGGGACGACAGAGGATGAGATGGTTGGATGGCATCACGGACTCAACGGACATGAGCTTGAGTAAACTCCAGGAGTTGGTGATGGACAGGGAGGCCTGGCATGCTGCAGTCCAAGGGGTCACAAAGAGTCAGACATGACTGAGCGACTGAACTGAACTGAACTGTTGCTTATCACACACGATGACAGGTTTAGTACACCTGCCTTTCCTGCAACCTGTTTTCATTCATATCTCATTTGGGGGCTAAATCTATACTGTATTTAGTATTTTCTCTTTATGATAATACATTTTTTTCAGTGGGCTTCCTAGGTGGTGCAGAGGTAAAGAATCTGCCTGCCAATGCAGGAGACTCAAGAGATGCGAGTTCAATCCCTGAGTGGGGAAGCTCCCCTGGAGGAGGGCATGGCAACTCACTCCAGTATTCTTGCTGGAGTATTCCATGGACAGAGGAACCTGGTGGGCTACAGTCCACGGGGTTGCAAAGAGATGGACACCACTGAAGCAACTAAGTACAACCACAAAGTCTAATCTCTGCCTTGAGGGCAGCACTGCCTCGCTTTAACTTCTTAAGGGTAGGGCCATCTTGACACATCTTTGCAGGGACCAGCAAGCAGCACTCCACAAATTATTTATTTTTAATAGTTTTTTTTTTTTAGAGCAGTTTTAGGCTCACAGCAACTTTTAATTTTTACATGTATTTTTATTGTGGCTGTTTCTCGAGTAAATTCCTTTTTTTTATTTTTTAAGTCTCGTTGCTTTACAGTATTGTGTTAGGTTCAGGCATGCAGCATAAGGAGTAAATTCCTAAGGAACACAACCTGGTAGGTAAGCTTTGTGGAGTGGAAAATAGGTTGCCCCGCCTCCCGGCCCTGGCCAGGCAATCTACAAAGCAACAGTGGCGGGCAGCGAGAATAGGGGCTGCAGGAGCCAGCCTCCTTCCTCACCCTCATTTTTCCTGCTGAAGATGCAAGAACCCATACTCTGAACTCTGTGCTGTCTGCAGGCGAGGCCTGCATGCGTTCTCAGTTCAGTTCAGTAGCTCAGTCATGTCCGACTCTTTGCGACCCCATGGACTGCAGCACGCCAGGCCTCCCTGTCCATCACCAACTCCTGGAGCTTACTCAAACGCATGTCCATTGAGTTGGTGATGCCATCCAACCATCTCATCCTCTGTCATCCCCTTCTCCTCCTGATTCACTAGCTGGATCTCCTTGCAGTCTAAGGGACTCTCAAGAGTCTTCTCCAACACCACAGTCCAAAAGCATCAGTTCTTCAGTGCTCAGCCTCCTTTATAGTCCAACTCTCACCTCCATACATGTTTACTGCAAAAACATAAGTTTGATTAGATGGACCTTTGCTGGCAAAGTAATATCTCTGCTTTTTAATATGCTGTCTAGGTTGGACACAACTTTTCTTCCAAGGAGCAAGCATCTTTTAATTTCATGGCTGCAGTCACCACCTGCAGTGATTTTGGAACCCAAGAAAATAAAGTCTGTCACGATTTCCATTGTTTCCCCATCTATTTGCCATGAAGTGATGGGACCAGATGCCATGATCTTAGTTTTCTGAATGTTGAGTTTTAAGCCAACATTTTCACTCTCCTCTTTCACTTTCATCAAGAGGTTCTTTAGTTCTTCTTCGCTTTCTGCTGCATATCTGAGGTTATTGATATTTCTCCTGGAAGTCTTGATTTCAGCTTGTGCTTCATCCAGCCCGACATTTTGCATGATGTACTCTGCATATAAGTTAAATAAGTACGGTGGCAACATACAGCCTTGACGTACTCCTTTCCTGATTTGGAACCAGTCTGTTGTTCCATGTCCAGTTCTAACTGTTGCTTCTTGACCTGAATACACATTTCTCAGAAGGGAGGTAAGGTGGTCTGGTATTCCCATCTTTTGAAGAATTTTCCAGTTTGTTGTGATACACGGTCAAAGGCTTTGGCTGTCAATAAAGCAGAGGTAGATGTTCCCTGCAGAAGGCAATGGCACCCCACCCCAGTACTCTCGCCTGGAAAATCCCATAGCGGGAGGAGCCTGGTAGGCTCCACCGTCCATGGGGTCGCAAAGAGTCGGACACGACTGAGCGACTTCACTCTCACTTTTCTCTTTCCTGCATTGGAGAAGGAAGTGGAAACCCACTCCAGTGTTCTTGCCTGGAGAATCCCAGGGACGGGGGAGCCTGGTGGGCTGCCGTCTATGGGGTCGCAGAGTCAGACACGACTAAAGCGACTTAGCAGCAGCAGCAGCAGCAGAGGTTCCCTTGCAGCACCATGGTTTCCGGGTTTTGCGGCTCACCGCCCCTCCCTTCCCAGCTGGAATCCACTTCCGTGTTTTGCTCCGTGCCCGGGGCGCCAGGGCGTGGAAGCGGTAACGCGCACGCGCACAGCGATCTGGCCCGGGCCGAGCGCGCGGCCGGACGATTGCGGGTGAGGGAGAGTCGGTCCTGGCCGAGATGGCGGGCCTGAGGGGTCGTGGTCCGGGTCGGAGCGGGCAGGGGGGTCTCGGCTAGGATCTCCCGGCTCCCGGGGCATGCGGGGGCCGGGCGCTAGAGCCCGGGTCCTGGCGGTCTGGGTCGCACGATCGTCTAGGTCCGGGGGCGGGCTCGGGCCGCCGCGACGCGGGCACTCAGCCCGGCTGGGGCGGGCGGGAGGCGGGTGCGAGGCGGCTCCTCCTCGTCGCGAACTCTCGGTGACCTTGGCCAAGTCACTCCATCCCCTTGAGCCGGCGCCTGCGTCTGTGAAGTGTGAATTACGAGCCCTGCCAGCCTGCTGGAGCGGTTTTGAGGCTCGGGGGCAGGACCCCCGAGGGTACCTGGGGTAGAGGGCGGTTCCCCGGGGGCCACCTGGGCCTTGAGTGAGGGAGAGGGGCCTTACCGGCGTAGCATTTTGTTACGGGCTTTGGGGAAGGCCGCTCATCTGTAGGTTTTTAAAACTCCAGAGCATTATGAAGTAGTTAAAAAACTTTTGTTTAACACAAAGGAGAGACGTCAGGGCTTCCCCGAGGCCCACGTTGCTCAACTGTCAGCAATGCTCATGCTCCGGCCGGAGACGGCTCCATGAGAATGGTTCGCAGCCGTCGAGACCCTTAGCTGTGGAATTAGTACTATTTGTGATTCCTCTTGTTTGCCAAAACCCTTTGCCCTCACCTGGGAAATGGTGGCGCTGGCCAAGCCAGTCTAGTATCTGTCCACGTGAGGCAGTCCGCCAGCTTCCCAATGGACCGAATTGTAGAGACTGGGGATCGAGGGGGCGCCATAGCCGTTTTGGGTGGTGGAGTGGGATCTCAGGAACCCTTCCGACGCGGGCAAGGGTCTGCAGTGTGACAGATGTGTAATTATAGAATACTCAACTGCCAGTGGTAGAAGGTCACTAAAATAAGAAGCCTATTAAGATGTCCTAGGTTGGAAGAAATTCAGAGCATTTGAATTGACTTGAACTGAAACTTTTCACCGCAGGTGACTAGCATGCAGATAACCATTCTCTGACCTGCTGCCCCTCTTCTGACATGGCCCACCGCGGTGGGGAGAGGGACTTCCAGACTTCAGCGCGGCGCATGGGCACCTCTTTGCTCTTCCAGCTCTCGGTGCATGAGCGGGAGCTGGACCTGGTGTTTCTGGATCACAGCTATGCTAAGCCGTGGAGTGCCCACCCCGATGCCAGCAGTGCCCGCCCCACCCGCATGCTCTTTGTTACTCCGCGGAGACAGCATGAAAGTACCATGTGAGTTTGGCCTTCTCTCCTATGGGCTGCGGTCACCCTAACTGGGCAGTAATCAGCTGGGGATTAGAGTGGATTATTGTGGGAGATTAGTGGTGGGGTGGGGCATGGATGTTTAATTCAGCATCCTTCTTAACCATCCTGAGGATGTCAGGCCTCTTGGTGAATATCTGGATTCAAGACATCTAATGAGTTAGGAAGGCAGGATATCCAAAGGAAAGCAAACAGCTGATTGCATTTAGGATAAGAGGACTTGTGTGGAAAGAGGAATTGAAGAGGATTATTTAAACGGAAGAAAAAGATGGAAGAGTTGACTTTTAAAAATTGTCACATAGGATTAGACTCATTCCTAAAATAGCCCAGTGTTCTGGCTCTCCAACACTGGCAAATAACCTTTTTATGGTAATTTGATTTGTTTTTCCTCCATTCACCTGCAAAGCTTAGGAGCACATGCCCACCACTTTTCTTTCTGCCTTAACTTGTTATAGAACTGTCACCATGGGTTGATCTTAACCCTTCTTAGATCTGGTTATGTTTTCAGCCCACCTACATAATAGGGTCAGGAATTTTTTCATAAACTTACCATGTAGTGTGTGATACAGTTACATTTGGTCTATGCAAACTTGTTTAGAAATTCTTTTGAGCTTTAAGGCATTCTGATTACCTTGGAATACAAGGTGTTTCAAGATTTAGTGATATATTCTATTTTGATGATAAAATCATACCCTTAATAATTTTATAAACTTTTTTGGGGAGGAGTTGTTTTTGTTTGTCTCAATCTGACCTGATGTTTAATCTCTCTAGCACAGGTTTTAGGTTTGCTGGAAAACAGAGATCTTGCGATTTGCTTCTTTTGATCCCCCAGTGAGCCTTAATGAACTAGAAGTGCCATGACCTGTGTGTGTTTAACACATGTAGAATAGTGGTTTTTATTTCATTTCCCAGCGAGAGCCTAATTTTGTTGGCCTGTTTTGGATGTATAGGTCACAGGATCTGTGATTTTAGAGAATAATTGAGCATAATCCTGATGCTTCTGATCGAGGGCATCACTGAAGAACTCTTTTAAATAGAATTGCTAGTCTCTCTCTTAGTTATGTAATAGCTTCTTCTAAACATTGAAACTCCTGTATTTAAATCTCATGATTATTTTCTTAAAGTGAGATTTTGTGGACTTGGTCATTTCAATACTCAGAAAATTACTTCCTCTTATAGACTGGCTCCATATATGGGCCCTGTAAGTGGGAGTTTGGCATATTTTAGGAGCTCTGTTTAGGCCACTGGATCTGGAAGGTGGTTGCAGTGGGGGCGTAAGTGGGAGCTAGGGAAGAAGCTGGCAGCGGCTACCTCATGTAGGAATTTGATTCTCAGAGTTGGTGAGAACTCATTGAAGGATTTTAAGCTAGAGATTGAATTTATATTTAAAAAGATCACTTTGAATTTTTGTTGAATACATGATAGTGCTGAAGTGGAATAGATAAGACCTGGCTAGGAGACCACTGCAGAGTGGTCAGGGTCAGAGATCATGAGCCTTGATGGGACAGGCATATTACAAGTGGGGAAAGAGGGATGGCCTTGAGGTGTATTTCTTGGGTAGATCCAACATGACCTGCTGTGGTGAGTTGGCAAGAGTGACCAGGATTAAGGGGAAAAGAAGGGAGGACGACTCATGTTTCTGGCTCAGCAGTGCCATTAGCTGGAAAGATAGGGTTGGAATTGTGACATCAGAGCTTCTTTTTCAGGCATCCAAGTCTAAGTACCTTGCCCAAAGTCTGGTCCACAAAAGATAATCAGCTCTTTCACCCACCACCAAATCCAGCTGCACATTATTTCACTTCATTTTATAACGATGTAATTATTCTAGCCATTGGGAATGTATACAGTAGCATCATTGAGGTCAAAAAGTTAAAGTGACATTTGCTAGATAGCCAGTAGACCAGTGTGATTGACACCATATTTTGGGTGCATCACATATTGCAGTGAAAACAGCACTAGGATTTCATTAACATTTTATTTATTTTTTTCATTAATGTTTTAAAATACGAAAGATTTTTCAGGTATCCACTTGTGTTTGTTTCTGTTGTGGGCTCCTTACAGAATGAGTAAGCTAAGGTGTCTGTGTTCCCAGCGATCTGTCTTAGACTTAGACAATCATGGGCTTTTACAGCATGTCATTAGCTATTGCTTGACTTGGTAAGGAAAGGAAAATTTGTATGAATAATTTAGAACTTTAGACCAACATTGCCTGACAGACTCTCTGTAGTAACAGAAATGTTCTGTACCTGCTTCATCTAATATGGTAGCCTTAGGCAGACATTTCTTTTTTTTTCTTGGAGAGAAAAAGAAATGCGAAAAGGCAAAATGGTTGTCTGAGGAGGCCTTACAAGTAGCTGTGAAAAGAAGAGAAGCCAAAGGCAAAGGAGAAAAAGAAAGATACACCCATTTGAATGCAGAGTTCCAAAGAATAGCAAGGAGAGATAAGAAAGCCTTCCTCAGGGATCAGTGCAAAGAAATAGAGGAAAACAATAGAATGGGGAAAGACTAGAAATCTCTTCAAGAAAATTAGAAATACCAAGGAAACATTTCATGCAAAGATGGGCACAATAAAGGACAGAAATGATATGGACCTAACAGAAGCAGAAGATATTAAGAACAAGTGGCAAGAATACACAGAAGAACTGTACAAAAAAGATCTTAGTGACCCAGATAATCACGATGGTGTGATCACTCACCTAGAGCCAGACATCCTGGAGTGCGAAGTCAAGTGGGCCTTACCAAGTATCACTACGAACAAAGCTAGTGGAGGTGATGGAATTTCAGTTGAGCTATTTCAAATCCTAAAAGACGATTCTTTGAAAGTGCTGCACTCAATATGCCAGCAAATTTGGAAAACTCAGCAGTGGCCACAGGACTGGAAAAGGTCATTTTTCATTCCAATCCCAAAGAAAGGCAATGCCAAAGAATGCTCAAACTACCGCACAGTTGCACTCATCTCACACGCTAGCAAAGTAATGCTCAAAATTCTCCAAGCCAGGCTTCAACAGTACATGAACTGTGAACTTCCAGATGTTCAAGCTGGATTTAGAAAAGGCAGAGGAACCAGAGATCAAATTGCCAGCATCCATTGGATCATCGAAAAAGCAAGAGAGTTCCAGAGAAACATATACTGCTGCTGCTTTATTGACTATGCCAAAGCCTTTGACTGTGTGGATCACAACAAACTGTGGAAAATTCTTAAAGAGATGGGAATACCAGACCACCTGATCTGCCTCCTGAGAAACCTGTATGCGGGTCAAGAAGCAACAGTTAGAACTGGACATGGAACAACAGACTGGTTCCAAGTTGGGAAAGGAGTATGTCAAGGCTTTATATTGTAACCCTGCTTATTTAACTTATATGCAGAGTACATCATGAGAAATGCTGGGCTGGAAGAAGCACAAGCTAGAATCAAGATTGCCAGAAGAAATATCAGTAACCTCAGATATACAGATGACACCACCCTTATGGCAGAAAGCGAAGAAGAACTAAAGAGCCTCTTGACAGTGAAAGAAGAGAGTGAAAATGTTGGTTTAAAACTCAACATTCAGAAAACTAAGATCATGGCATCTGGTCCCATCATTTCATGGCAAATAGACGGGGAAACAATGGAAACAGTGACAGACTTTATTTTCTTGGGCTCCAAAATCACTGCAGATCATGGTGACTGCAGCCATGAAATTAAAAGATGCTTGCTCCTTGGAAGAAAAGTTATGACCAACCTAGACAGCATATTAAAAAGCAGAGACATTACTTTGCCAACAAAGGTCCGTCTAGTCAGAGCTATGGTTTTTCCAGTAATCATGTATGGATGTGAAAGTTGGACTATAAAGAAAGCTGAGCACCGAAGAATTGATGCTTTTGAACTGTGGTGTCGGAAAAGAGCCTTCAGATTCCCTTGGACTGCAAGAAGATCCAACTAGTCAATCCTAAAGGATATCAGTTCTGAATATTCACTGGAGGGACTGATGCTGAAGCTGAAGCTCCATTACTTTGGCCATCTGATGCAAAGAACTGACTCATTTGAAAAGACCCTGATGCTGGGAAAGATTGAAGGCAGGAGGAGAAGGGGATGACAGAGGATGAGATGGTTGGATGGCATCACCGACTCAGTGGACATTAGTTTGAGTCAACTCCGGGAGTTGGTGATGGACAGGGAGGCCTGGTGTGCTACAGTCCATGGGGTTGCAAAGAGTCAGACACGACTGAGCAACTGAACTGAACTGAACTGAGGCAGACATGTCTCTTGAGCTCTTGAAATATGGCTTGTGTGACTGAGGAAATGAATTTTTTATTTTAATTGTTATTAAGTTAAATATTTGCATGTGGCTTATAGCTACGGTATTGAAAAGCACCTTTAGGCAATCAACTATATGCTTATGGAATATACTTGTCTTTTTAAAAAATAGCTCTTTGTCAGTTTTACATAAGCTCTCTTAAAATGACTTTGTGTTTCCCCTTCATATACCAGTATGTCACAGAGATCTAGATACGTGTGGGAAAGGTAACTTTAGATCATAATTTTCTGTGGACATAGTGTGCTTACGCATATTTTAAAGCTGATTAAGGACTTCCCGGGCAGTCCAGTGGTTAAGATTCTGCCCTCACCAGTGCAGGGGCCACAAGTTCGATCCCTGGTCAGGGAGTTAAGATCCCACAAGCTGCATGGTGCAGCCAAAAAAAATAAATAGATAAAAAGCTGATTATGTTAAAGAGACATTTTTGGCAATGGTACAATCATTAAATACTTAGGTTGTGTGAAATATGTGTGGCTGGTTCTGTTTCCTCACTTTTACAGTGAATCAGATGTCCCAATAGACGTGGAGACAGTCATATCCACCCCAGTGCCGCTCTACGACAATCAGAAGGCGCGCAGTGTGATGAATGAGTGTGAACGGCACGTCATCTTCGCCAGGACCGATGCAGATGCCCCTCCCCCACCTGAGGACTGGGAGGAGCATGTCAACAGGTAGGTTGCTTCTGAGAGGACTGAGCACTCACTACAGGGTTCATGGTCAGTGCATTGTAAATATCTTGTATCGTTGTCATTGAAACATATTTTTAGGAGTTTATTTCATTTGCAGCCATAGGAGTCAGAATGTTCTCCTGTCTTTGTAACTCTCAGCTCATTCTGCAGTGGGCTCCCTGGGAGGAGAGCTTGTGTCTCAGCCATCTTTGCATCCCTGACACCTCGGACATTGCCTGGCACATAGTAGGCAAGTAGTAAGTGTTAACTGAAAGTATAAATGAGTCAAATTTGATAGGTGTGACTTGCTCTGTAGTGTATATAGTACACGTTATGATACGGGGGTTAGCCAGACTACCAAAAAAGATTAAATGTCCATTTGTATGATACTTGTACTTATAGTGTCTATAACTAGAGTAGTGAAAATATTTTGGAGTCATTTGAAAGGCTAATAGATGTTTGACTTGAGTGACTTTTAAAGATAGGTTTGTAGTCTGTGGTTTTGGGGGAGCACCTCAGCCTGTTTTCATGAGTTTGCTGGCTAGTTTTGCTCTCTTATGTCCTACTGACCCTGGGGACTCAACATTCCTCTTTAGGTCATTCGTTGTTGTTTGTTTGGCAAACATTTGTTTATCTTGTATTTGTTGCATAAAACTTTATGAAAGTAAAATTTACGTAGCATAACAATTCACTTATACAATATGTACAACCAGTGATTTTTAGTATATTCATCACTGCAGTCAATCTGATGAACGTTTTCCTTACCCTCAAAAGAAACTCCTTACCTGTTAATGGTCACTTCCCATTTCCTCCCAACCCCTGGCAACCACAGTCTACTTTCTGTCTCTCTAAACTTACCTTTTCGAAACATTTTATAGAATCATACAGAACATGGTCTTCTGTGACTGGATTCTTTCACATAATGTAATGTTTTCAGGACTCATCCATGTTGAAGCATGTGTCAGTGGTTCATTCCTTTTTAATGCTGAATAATATTCCACAGTACGGAAGTGCCACATTTTGTTTATCCATTCATCTGTCGATGGATATTTGGGTTGCTAATGGTTTTTTGGCTACTGTATATGAATAATGTCACTATGAATATTCATTTACTTGTTTTTGTATGGATTTACATTTTCATTTTTCTTGAATATATATCTAAGAGTGGAATTGCTGTGTCATATGATAACTTGTGAGAAATCTTCAGGTTCTTCTCCCAAAGGACTGCATCATTTTGCATTCCCACCAGCAGTGTATGAGGGTTCCAGTTTCTCCACATCTTTGCCAACATTTGTTTTTCATCTGTCTTTTTCTTATTATGACCATTCTAGCAAGTGTAAAATGACATCTCATTGTAGTTTTAATTTACATTTCCCTCATGGCTCTCTCTATATGTATTTATCTTCTAAGGGAATGTTAAGGTCTTTACATCAGGAGTTGGAAAGTAGTAAACGTGCCATAATGTTGGAGGGCGCTTACTTTATGATAATGGAGGAAAAAGAAGTAATTTGGTAGGAAGAAGGGCAGGAAAGTTCCAGGCTCGTTGGAATGGTTCATGAGTTTGGTTGGAAGCAGGGAATGACGTTGAGCTGGTGTGCCTGTGTGATCAGGTGGTGGCTGGTGAGGGTGGAGCAGTTCTGCACCCTGGTTGAAGATCTTGTGGAGTTCTTCGGGGTCTTGAATTGGAATTAGTCTTGTGCCCTAAGAAGGGGAAATGCTCTCTAGAGCTTCAGATAAAGAGGAACATTGCTGTGAATGAAGATCAACTACTAGAATATTGCCAGGGTCAGAGTTCAGCAAAATTGTTTATCACCATTGTTACAGTTAATAACTGTGAGAATACTGACAGTGGTAGTAACAAAAGAGAACTCAGGTTTGTCGCATGCTTTCTAGGTGCCAGGCATGGTACCAAGCGCCTCACACGCGTTGTCTCTCTTAAACCTCACAGCTCCCCTGGGTGCATCCCTTCTGTGTCTGCTTTAGGAGTGGGGAGACTGAGCTCCGGGAGAGGAGGGGCCCTTAGGAGGTGGTGCAGCGGGTTGTCAGAGCGCGCAGTCTGACTGGGGCCCGTGCTGGCCCCTGCCCTGCCTTTTCCCTAAGGGCAGTGGAAAGAGACCAGTGACGGCCAGACCCTGTCTGGCCACATATCTGACTTCACACAGATATGTGTCCTCGTTGTGTTATTGCTGCCTTGTCCTCAGTCTGCAGTTTCAGAAACTGCATAGGAGAATTGCATGAATTTTTCTATCAGTTCACCCTTGGTCTGGACAAAGGGTTTTAGGTGCACTCGTCACGCTTACCAAAGTCATCAGAGACTTATTAATACGTATGAATGCCAGTTTCTTAATTTATAAGGAGAGATCCAGCTGCACGGCAGATGAGATCCTGGGGCAGCCTGGCCCAGAGCCTTGATGCTCGATAGGAGAGTCTGGGAAGCTGTTCTCTTCCAGAGGTGGATGGCTGGTGGACCGTCTGCACAGGAGGTGCCCTCCTTCAGCAGGGTAGCTGGATGACAGTAGGCCAACAGTAGGCTGGGCACACCTTCACCTGCCCAGTCCTGGAGAAAAACAGACAGATGCTACTCTTTGGCTCCTCTTTCTCCATGTGGACCTCCATACCTGTGTTAAGCCATTGCCACAGACTGATATGATTAATTAGTTTATCTCAGATTATATGCTTTTTAGTGTCTGATGAGATTTTGGAGGCGTCCTTCTCTCATTAGCAACAGGCTTACATCTTCAGGTACGTCACTGTTGCACACAGCTAATTTCATTATTTGATGATACTGGCTTCAGTCTGAGAGGTCACCATTTTTATGACCTCGTCCGCAAATTCTGGATCTGTAGCCTGTTTGGAGGTTGTAGTTAGTTCTCTCTGCTCTGATTATTATCATCTGTTGCCATTCTTTCACCTGATTTTATTGTTAAATTGCTGCTTCTTTTCTTCCATGTATAAAATCATGTAAAATTACAGTTTGCTACATCAAGAACTCATATAGGACAGCTCCCTAGATATGTATTTTTCCTCAGAGAGATGACTGATCTATCAGGGAGTCAGAAACTTACTTTTCTTTTTTAGTGCCCCATTTTGCCCTCCTGAATTATTTCAGTAGCAGATAGCTTTGGACCACTTCTTTTTTTTGGCTGAGCCACGCAACGTCAGGATCTTAGCTCCCTAGCCAGGGATCGAGCTCATGTCCCTGCACTGGGAACATGCAGTCCTTACTACTGGACCACCAGGAGGTCCCCAGATAACTTGCTGTGTTTAGAAAACGCATCCCCCCACCCCAGCTGACTCTGGGTTTCTCTAGTAATGCCTGATCTTCCATGAAACATGATTTTAAACATCCCTCTCTTCTTGATTTAATTGTCTAGATCAGGGGTTGGCAAACTATGGCCTGTGTGCCACATCCGGCCTGTGTGCCAAATCCAGCCCATTGCTTGTTTTTCTATGATCCATGAGCTAAGAATGGATTTTACATTTTTGAATGGTTGAAAAAAAATCAAAAGAAGACACAAGGAATTCAAAATTCAGGGTACATAAATACAGTGTTATTAGAACACAGTCATGCCCACTCATTTAGGTATTGTCTGTGGCTGCTTTGCACTACAATTGTGGAGTGAAATAGTTGTGACGGAAACTCTAAAATATTTAGTATCCAGTCCATCATATAGAAAAAGTCTGCTGACTCCTGGTCTAGATTATGTTTTTGTGTCTGCATGCCAAAATCGTGTGACTTGGTGAACTTTTGAAAATGATATATATTTGCAGGTATGATGATGTTTCCCAAAGAAGCTGGACCAGCTTTTTTTCCCCAGATGTTTGTCAGATACCTAATTAGATGCACAGCTTTTCAGAGACATGTGACAAAATACTCCTGACATGGTACTTCAGGACCTTGCTTAAATGGATTCTAGGACATGGCCAGCATTTCAGTAAAAGCATCTAGTGTCCTACAGCAGATTGTCTTATCTTAGAAATCGGAACCTCTGAATTCAATTAAAAGATATTCTCCTTTTCTGAATTTGCTCTAATTGTATCTCTCAGTATTGTATGTATAATATCTATGTGTTAATCTCGGACGGATGTTTGAAATTTCTATTCAAGACCTTTGAGTTGTTTATTTTCCCTCCCTCTTTCCCAGTCATTCCTCTTCCTTTCTCCTGGTATTTAAGCAAAGAATTTTATGATCTGAAAAAGTAAGTGTGACCTTTTTCTTCTCTCTGATGTTCTTTGTTTCTCTCTGCTTGACTTCTGGTTAAAGAGAAAAGATCCCTTTAGACATTTTAATATTGAATTAGTGTCAGAGAAGGAATTATCTTTGAAAATACCAGGCTCTTCTAGGACTGGTGTGACTTTTTGGCTGCTTTGGATAAGAGAAGCCAGAAGTCAGAATGTCATTCACTTTCATTGGGAGTGTGGAGAACATAAAATTGTCTGATCTCATCTAAGCAATGGAGAGAAGACATTTTTGTACTCATGAAAATTGAATAGGTGTAGATGGGGGAGTGTATTGACTCACCACAGTTCCCATCAGCTGTTTGACTGTTTAGACTTGTATCTAAAATTCTGTCTCCTGTTTTTAAATTTTTCCTTAATTATATCTTTTGCATACTCTTAATCTTCGGTTAGATCATTTTTTTCTGCCCATTTAATTTTCTACCCTCCCATGAAGCTCACAAAATACAGAGAATATGTTTCAGTTCTTGGAATCACTTTGTTATATATCCAGCAACAATCCTAAGAACTTTTTCTGGGGGTTTTAGACTCATTGTGGTTTTTCAGTTTAATTTCAGCTGTCAGTGGTGTATGGTAGTAATTTCTAAATAGCTTTCTAGTGCCCCTCCCGTTTCGTTCACATCATTTTCCTTGCTCCCATCATTTTGGGTTTCAGAATAAATACAGGGTAAGAAAAACAAGTAGAGAAAACATTCTGTTGTATGATAAAGAACAAGATAATTTTGGAAATGCTGTCGGTACCTCATAAGTGAAAAATTATATACAGCTCATTCTCTGTCCTTGGGATTAGGGTTTGCAACCTGATTGATAGGCTTTGAGAAAGCTCAAGAGATCCTTGAACATAAAGAAATTGTATTCATTGTTTAACCTGTTTGATTATCACTGAGCATTATTGCTGGGGTTAAGCGCTCAGTCGCTCTATCTTGTCTGACTCTTTTGTGATCCCATGGACTGTAGCCCGCCAGGGTGCTATGTCCATGGGATTTTTCAGGCAAGAATACTGGAGTGGGTTGCCATTTGCACCTCCAGGGGCTGGGAGTAAGGCTGCAGTGTAATACCGCTTTCAAGATTTTGCAGGTTCTTTATGCATAATATTTGCACAGAACTGGAAATTCTAAAATTTTAACACAGATCTTTCTTTTTTTTTTTTTTGCGGTATATGGAACTTTCTGTAGTATCTTTGCAATTTTTTGTAAATCTTATGCTATTTTATTTTTTTTTATTTTATTTTTAAATTTATTTATTTATTTATTTATTTTATCACAACCATAGTGTATCTTTTTTTTTTTTTTTTTTTTTTTTATGTATTCCCCATCCCGGTCCCCCCTCCCACCTCCCTCTCCACCCAATCCCTCTGGGTCTTCCCAGTGCACCAGGCCCGAGCACTTGTCTCATGCACCCAACCTGGGCTGGTGAACTGTTTCACCCTAGATAATATACGTGTTTCAATGCTGTTCTCTTGAAACATCCCACCCTCGCCTTCTCCCAGAGTCCACAAGTCTGTTCTATACATAGGAGTCTCTTTTTCTGTTTTGCACATAGGGTTATCGTTACCATCTTTCTAAATTCCAAATATATGTGTTAGTATACTGTAATGGTCTTTATCTTTCAGGCTTACTTCACTCTGTATAATGGGCTCCAGTTTCATCCATCTCATTAGAACTGATTCAAATGAATTCTTTTTAATGGCTGAGTAATATTCCATGGTGTATATGTACCACAGCTTCCTCATCCATTCATCTGCTGATGGGCATCTAGGTTGCTTCCATGTCCTGGCTATTATAAACAGTGCTGCGATGAACATTGGGGTACACGTAACACAGATCTTTCATTTCCACTTCAAGAGATTTATCCTGCAGAGAGATTTGCATGACCATGTGAAGATGCGGAGAGATGTGTGTATGAGTGTATTGGGGAGAGGTGGGGTTGTCACTGTGACTGTTTATAATAGTAATAAAAGGGACAGAACCTCAATGCCCACCAGTAGGGTAGAACCAGCCATTAAAAGCAAGGAAGTTTATTAATAAGGAAATATCCATGTATCTGCAGAGAGCTTTTTATAACTACTTGTGGACATCTTTGTCTCCTCCCACCACCACCAAAACCCAAGCCCACCAGAGAATCACTATACATAAGAGAAGTGCTACTCGTGTTAGTGTGTACTACCTTTAAATAACGTAAAGGAAGACAAGATTATGAACCAGTGGGCTGGTGATGCTAGTTCACACAAGCCCTCCTGGTCCCAAGGTATCCTGAGCCCCAACCTTGAGTAAAAGCTTCTACTCCCCCATCTTCCACACCCACAATCTCCATGAATATCAACCACAACAAAAACTGACTAGATCCTGATGAAGTAGCAGAAATTAAGCCAGGAGAGCTATGGGAAAATAAGAAAAAGGACAGTTCCAGGAAACCTGAGATGGCTGCTGGTACCCCACAAGGGGTTTATAAAAGGATGAGAGGCTTTGGAGGTTAAGACGGGCTTTAGCTGTGGCAGCAAAAGCTACTAAAGATAGAGGGCACTTCTAAAGAAAGAATTCTGTGATCATGGACTTGGGCTGCTGTCATAGAACTTTTACTCCCATCAGTAATCGTAGCTAGCCTGAGTTTTATAGACCGTCTTGTCCATCTCTTTTGCAGTCAAGGAGACTAAAGGCACACAGCCAGCTCCTGGCTCATAGCTAGTGTTTTCCTGGACTTTGCGACTGTGGTAAGTTGTAAAACTGGAGACGTAACGTGGTAGGTGGAGATTGTATTTTACAGAAGGAAAGGAAGCTGGACTGTTATTTTCCTCCTTTCTGGAGGGTATTTACTCTCTGCAAGGATAGTGAAATGATGGTTAAGTTGGAAGCAATGTTCTTGTGGCCCAGGCACCCTGGTCTGGTGAAGGGCTCTGTTTACAGTTGCCCCACATGATGTATCAGTGTTGCACTGCTCCTCAGGACCTGGGCACCTACTGTGGTAGGGAGTGTGAGAGTTTGGATTTGTTCTCTGCTGTTCACAGGATTTAGAATGTAGTGTGCATACAGTTCCTCCATGTCTATCTTCAGCAGATGTTTCAAGTCCCTGCTCTGTGTCAGACACTTTTAAAACAGACAAAAATCTTTGCTGTCTTGGCCTTTACGTTCTAGCAGAGGGAGACAAGCCAAACATTTAAATAAAACAGATAGAATGTGAGGTGGGGATAGGGAATCCCAAGGTGAGAGTCAGATGTTGGCAGTGTTAAGTAGGGGTGAGTCGGGGGAACCCTCAGTAGAAGGTGGCGTCTGAGCAAGAACCTGGCCGGTGGAGAGGGAGCCGTTGTTTCGGGTGGAGGGAGTGGGTGGCTAGGGCCTGGTCTGTGCGGTGGGAGCGCGCAGGGTGTGTGGGGAGATAAGGAAGGGGCGGTGCGGAGAAGCATGTAAGCTGGGGGCTGCGTGAGGATGAGGTTGGAGAGCCGGGGGGTTCCACACAGCCCGTGGCAGGGACTTTGACTTTCAGCTGACCGAAATGGGCTGGGCTCGCAGTGTCACAGTCCTACTTACTTTATCCCAGCTGAGGTGGGGTGCTACCTTGGTGCCGTTCCAGGTTCTCATTTGGGTCTGGCATCCACCTAAATTTTTTAAAATGAGATTTAATCACCAGTTTATTTTTATGGCAGGGAGAGTTGGTAAACAAATACTGAAACAAATTGGGCGTCTTCTGTTACTTTTTTCTTGGTATCTGTAGGAAGATTACTGGCCAGAGTTGGAGTCTCAGAGTAATTAAGGTTGTCAGGAGTGGGGTGGAGAGGGTAAAGCGTTAGTCAGCTCTGCGCTGCTGTGCCGTGCATCATGAGGTTGGGACGAGCAATAGAGTAGGTTTCTAACAGCAGGAATTTATAGCTGAGTTGGAGGAGGAACCATAAAGCCTTCCATAAGGAAGGAGGTGTGTCAACCAGGGCCATACGCTGGATGTACAGAGTTAACTTAGATGGAACAGTTGTTGTATGGCAGAAACTAACACAACGTTGTAAAGCGGTTATCCTCCAATTAAAAACAAATTAGAAATACATAACCTATTTTAAAAATTAAAAAAAGTAAATTTGTTAATTGTGTGCTATATGGAAAAAATCATGGAGAAAAAAGGAACGTTAATGAGGGGTGGATTATGTAGGAGTGGGAGACCAGCCACTTGGTTTTGTTGTATTTTTGTCCCTTACACTGATGTAAGTAGGCCTCTTAGTGTGAGGTTTTAGTGCACTAAATGCTTCCTCATCCTGTCTACCTTTTTTGAGTAACTTGTGAAATTCAGATACGTCTGTGCAGTGCTGCCATGCTTTTGTTTACTAACGGATTATTTTATCTGCTGGGTAATTAATGAGCTTTGCTAGAACCACAAAGGCATAATTCCTGGTGGCCCAGCAGTAAAGAATCTGTCTGCCAATGCAAGAGACACAGGTTCAGTCCCTAGGTTGGGAAGATCTCCTAGAGAAGGAAATGGCAGCCCACTCCAGTATTCCCAACTGGAAAATCCTATGGACAGAGGAGCCTGACACGCTACAGAGTTGGACACGACCCAGTGACTAAACAACAAACAGCAAAGCCCCACAAAGGCTTGTTGTGTGTGTATTAACACATATGCTGAGGTGCTTCACTGGCAGGATTGGGACCAGAATCTGGATGTTGTGCTTTAGCTTAGTACTCAGCTACTTGGACTTACACTGTTTCACAGTGGGAACAAAAATCATGCCATAATCTTCTTTGCAGTGTACTGGCGTGGGGAGTGTCACTGGGGTTTGACTCTTAATTCCTCAGAGTGTCTCTTACAGGACTGGCTGGACCCTGGCCCAGAACAAGCTATTCAACAAGATCCTCAAAGCCCTGCAATCTGACCGGCTTGCCCGCTTGGCCAATGAAGGGGTAAGACTCCAGAAATCTGCCCCCGGCGGGCTTTCCCTTGTTCAGGCCTCTCTGATTGACTCATCTGTTGGGCACCCCCGCCCCCCCCAGTTGCTAACAAGGTGGCCCTCAGGCTGTTCCCTCTGCTTCCACCGACAGGCTTGTAATGAGCCTGTGCTGCGTCGTGTTGCTGTGGACAAGTGTGCGAGGAGAGTGCGGCAGGCCCTGGCCAGTGTGAGCTGGGACACCAAGCTGATCCAGTGGCTGCACACCACCCTGGTGGAAACCCTGAGTCTGCCCATGCTGGCAGCCTACCTGGATGCTCTGCAGACGCTGAAAGGGAAGGTGAGGCAGTGATGGGCGTCTGCCCTGTCCTGGGGTAGCCGGCCTCTGCTGTGGATTCAGGAAACGGGATTGGGCTGGGTCATTGCCTGGTGAGTCTGGAGGACGTGACTGAAGCTGATGTGCTTGCTGTTGAAAACAGGAGACGTGGTGTCATTTCACGTTTTCATTTGGCATAAATGTCTTCAGCCCTCCTGTCTCTAGGGTGAGGTGTGGCACCCCCAAACCCGAGAACATGTTTAGCCTCTGCAGCCCTGCAACTTGTGGTTTGAGGTGAGGTGAGAAAGGAGAAGACAGATGAAGGGTTTACCGGGGAGGAGTGTTGAGAGAGGAGGAAGACGCAGACTCCCGTGGAGCTGAGGGCGTGGGGTGGGGCAGGGGAAGGTGCTGGGAGCAAGGAGGACAGGGGCCGACGCCTTGGTCTCTCCTCACTCTGACCAGCCTTCGGTAGCAACACTTGGACTTTAATCATTCTTTATAAAGCATCGTTACATTTCCCCACTTTCTTACTTAGACAGTATTGCAGTCACACTGCTTTCCTTTATGACTGTAGTTTACTGTGGTTGTAGTTACTGCACTGGACTGTGTTCAGTGTGATGGAGTACTGGTTCTGGATGCAGACTGCCTGGCTGATCCTTTCATGACTAATAAGCTTTGTAATCTTGGGTTAACACCTCAGTTTCCTCATATCTAAAAAATGGCTGATTATAATAATACCTGCCTTGGACTTTGTGATAATTTGTTAATCTGGATAGAATGCTTGGCACAAAGTTTGGCACATAGGAAACCCAGGGTAACTGTTAGTGATTTATAAGCGGTACCATTATATTTAGTGTGCTTTTTGCTCCAGCATGTCCTTAGGTAACTTGGATTAATTCAGTTTTTTTACTTTTGTGGGTTTTTTCTCCTTTGCAAGCAGCTGGCCAGCAACTTTCCCCATCCGTATTCCCCAAATTTCCAGACTTACTGTTTACTATCTGTTTGTAAGTTGAAGGATGCTGAGTTTGTCTGAAAGCAAAAGAAGACTGGTTTAGCTTCTGGAAATAAAACTCAGGACTAGATGCATTAATGAAATGCATGGTAGGAATTTGACATTAATTTATACATTCTGCCTTTGGAAAGAGAATAGCGTCAGTGAATCTGCTCCAGGGGACCAGTGCAGTCCTGCCCAGAGTCCACTTCCCTGCTTCTCTTTGTGAGCCCAGTAGGCCATGGAGGTCTTTTTCCTCATAATGAAGTTGGCACTGCCTTCCAGCTGAAGGCATTGTCTGGGTGTTCCCAACAAACACGTGTTCTGTGCCTCCAGTGTGCCGGGTGCTCCTCTGATGGAGCTGATTTTCTTGTGCAGAAAGAGACGAATGAAAAGATGGCCCCAGACTTCCCCCTGTGCCGCTCCTCTGCAGTGGTCACCCTGGCTCACGTGTGAGTGGGGGCGGCAAGGGCACAGGGTGGATATGGAGCCAAGACAGCCCCTGCCAGAGAGCAGCGGCTTGTAGTCCAGCATTCTGCCTATGGAAAGAGAACAGCGTTGCTGAGTCTGCTCTGGGGGACTGCTCTGGCTGTAGTCGTGCCCAGAGCCCACTGCTCAGCTTTCCTTTGCGTGCCCAGGATGCCTTGGAGGTCATTTCCCTCAATGAAGTGGCACTGCTTTCCAACTGAAGTTATAGTGTGGGTGTTCCCAAGAGAATGAAGTAGTGTTCAGATTTATGGAGCATCACGGACCACTGGCGGCACTCCACAGGCGTTCCTGGTGCGTGCTGCTGCTAAGTCACAGTGTGGGTCAGCTGGGGTGGCAGAGGACGCCCACTTAGCAAGGGCCCAGACTGCAAGGTGCTGTTCTGCGCTCAGCGGTATCTCTCCTGTCAGGCTCTCATTTTCCCATGACTGTTAGATTCACAGCACATATTTAAGTTGTTCCCCAAACTTCTAATGTACCTGCTGGTTGAAATTGTCAGTGAATGGGGTCACGCTCTAGGCCCAGTTACTTTCACCATCAGACCTGCTATAAAGGGAGCAGAGAAGCTATGGGCCCATCCTCTTCATTGTCTGCTGAGAGTGATCCTGTCCTGGAGAGATCAGGGATGCTTGGTCTGCCTAGCTTCATTCAGACAGAGGAGTCTAAGTGTTCTGTATTTACAAAAAAGTGAGCTTCAAGGCTTTGTCATTTCAGAGGTGTACTCTACTATGTGTGTGTTTGTGTGTGCACGCACACACGCTGTGTGCTCAGTCATGTCTGACTCTGCGATCCTGTGGGCTGTAGCCCGCCAGGCTCCTCTGTCCATGGGATTCTCCAGGCAAGAGTACTGGAGTGGGCTGCCATTTCCTCCTCCAGGAGATCTTCCCGACCCAGGGATGGAACCTGCATCTCCTGCAGTGGCAGGTGGGTTCTCTACCACTGAGCCACTGGGAGAACTGTCAGATAAAGTTTTTAAAACCTAGTATTCACTCAGATCCTCCACCTCTAGGTGTTGAGTGGCTCACAGTGACAAAATATTTATTAGTTTTAAAGAAACACCCAGTTTAGGGTGAAGATCCTTTGCAGTTTGACACTGTCCTTTGTTACTAGCCTATATCCTCCTATTTCCTTACTTGAATTCTTGACTTCAGGCCATCTGTGCCTGGAGTGAGCCCTGGACTTTCTTGCTTATATCTGGTGTCTGTTTAGAAAGCTTTTCCCTATCTTTTGTTGGAATTCTTCAGAGTGCATCTCACTTCGCATGCTGTATCTTCACTTCCCTCTTCTCTGTTGGATGGTTCAGATCACAGCAGTGAGGCTTCTGTTTCTTTATGGCACTTAGCAGCCCCTCCTCTCTAGTTATTTGTGTGCTTGTCTTCATAGATTGTAGATTAAATTCCTTTGCAGTCAGCACTAGCCTGGTGCCTTGTAACAGCAGTGTTGCATCAATGTTTGTTTCCTGAGTTAAACTGAGACAGCCTCATGGTTAAATATTCCCCTCATTTTTTGTGCAGAGCTCTTTTTAGTCTTGCTCTTTTAAAATTAGGAACACTGTCCTTTTTTGTCATTTCCAGAAATAACTTATCTTCTTGTGCTATCTTCAAACTTTTTATTTTAATTGAAATATAATTGACATACAGGATTTCCCTGTTGACTCAGATGATAAAGAGCCTGCCTGCAATACACTGTTCGATCCCTGGGTCAGGAAGATCTCCTGGAGAAGGAAATGGCAACCCACTCCAGTATTCTTGACTGGAGAATTCCATGGACAGAGGAGCCTGGTAGACTACAGTCCATGAAATCACAAAGAGTCGGACTCAACTGAGCGACTAACACACACACACACACAATTGACATTTATTGACAAGTACACCATACGTTTCAATATTTGTATGTGTGGTAAAGTGATTACCACAATAAGTCTAGTTAACATCTGTCACTGTACATAGTTAAAGAAATTTTTTCTTCTTCTGATGAGAATTTTTAAGATTTATTCTTGTAGAAGCTTTCAAATATGGAGTATAGTATTATTAACTACTAGTCATCATGCTGTATGTTACATCCCTTGACTTTATGTATTTCATACTTCTTTATCCCTTTTACCGATTTTACTAATCTCCCATCCCTTCCCTCTGAAAGCCACCAGTTTGTTTGTATCTATGAGTTTGGTTTTTGTTTTGTTTTTCCATATTCCACATACACATTAGATCATATGATATTTGTCTTTTTTCATCTGGCTGACTTCATTTAGCACAGTGCCCTCAGGGTCCATCCATGCACATGGCAAGATTTCCTTTTTATGCATAATATTCCATTGTGTATATATTTGATGTTTTCTTTATCCATTCATCCATCACTGGGCAGTTAGGTTGTTTTCATATCCTGCCTATTGTAAATAATGCTACAGTGAAGATGGGGGTGCATATATCTTTTTGAGTTAGTGTTTTTGTTTTCTTCAGGTAAATGCCCAGAAATGGAATTCCTGGATTATGTAGTAGTTCTGTTTTAGGAGGAACGTCTGTTAGTGTTTTTCATAAAAGTTGTACCAGTTTACATTCTCACCAAAATGTACAAGGGTTTCCTATTCTCCACATCCTTGCCAGCATTTGTTAATGCCTGTCTTTTCTGATAATAGCTACTCTAACAGGTATGAGATGATATCTCATTGTGGTTTTGATTTGTGTTTCCCTGATGATTAGTAATTTTGAGCGTCTTTTCATGTATAGTATATAAGATCTGTATATCTTCTTTGGAAAAATGTCCATTCAAATCTACCCATTTCTTTTTTTTTCAAATCTACCCATTTTTTAATCAGATTGTTTTATTGGTGTTGAGTTGCGTGAGTTCTTTGTGTATTGTGGATATGAACCGCTTATCAGATATGCGACTTGAAAACCTTCTCTCCCTTTCGGTGCGTTGCCTTTCATCTTGTTGGTGTTTTCCTTTGTCTTGCAGGAGCTGTTTAGTTTGTAGTTCCACTTGTTTGTTTTTGCTTTTGCTGCCTCACTTTTGGTGTCAGATCCAAGAAAATATTGCCAAGACTGACATCAAGGAGCTTACTGCCTGTGTTTTCTTACAGATGTTCTATGGTTTTAGATCTTCATTCAAAATCTTTAATCCATTCTGAGTTAATTTTTGTGTATAAGGTAATATGATGGTCCAGTTCATTCTTTTGCATGTAGCTATCCGGTTTTCTCAATACCATTTATTGAAGAGACTGTCCTTTCCCCACTGTGTTTTCTTGGCTCCTTTGTCATAAATTAATTGACTGTACATGCCTGAGTTTATTTCTGGGCTCTCAGTTCTGTTCCGTTCTTCTGTGTGTCTGTTTTTGTGCCAATACCATACTGTTTTGATTACTGTAATTTTGTCAAATAGCCTGAAATCAAGAAGCATGATGCCTCTAGCTTTGTTCCTTTTTCTTAAGATTGTTTTGGCTATTTAGGGCCTTCCGTGGTTCCATACAAATTTTAGGATAATTTGTTCTATTTCTGTAAAAAATGCCATTGGAATTTTGATAGGGATTGCATTGAATTTGTACAGTATATTGTGTTTTGGATAGAATGGACATTTTTACAATATTAATTCTTCTGATCTGTGAGCGTAGAATATCTCTGTTTGTTTGTGTCTTATTCAGTTTCTTCAGTCAGTGTCACAGCTTTCAGGGTATGGGCCTTTTACCTCCTTAGTTACATTTAACCAGGGAAGCCCTAGTTAAATTTATTCCTAACTATTTAATTCTTTTTGATGCATTATAAATGAGCATGTTTTCTTAATTTCTCCATTATTATTTAGAAATGCAACAGATTTTTGTATATTGATTTTGTATCCTGCAAATTCACCGAATTCATGTATTCTAATGGTTTTTCTGGTGTCTAGGGTTTGCTGTATGTAATATGATGTCATCTGCAAATATGTAGTTTTCACTTCTTCCTTTCTAATTTGAATGCCTTTTAGTTTTGTTTCTTGCCTAATTGCCCTTGCTAGGACTTCCAGTACTGTGTTGAATAAAAATGGTGAGAGTGGGCATCCTTGTCTTGTTCCTCATCCTAGAGGGAAAGCTTTCAGTTTTTCACTGTTGAGCTTAATGTTAGCTATGGGCTGAACTTTTCCCACCTGCATCACCATAGTAGTTTTTATTCTTATTTCTCAAAAAAATTTTATTTGTTTTTGGCTGTGCTGGGTCTTTCTTGCTGCATGGGCTTTTCTTTAGTTGTGGTGAGCGGGGCCTTCTCTTAATTGTGGACATTTTTACTTTTTGCGGGCAGTATGAGATTCACACAGACATTTCTTTTCAGTGGAAGCATCAGCAAGTCTGTAACCTATATTTACACATCTTTGAGATCACATTTTTGGTAAATTGTAATGATGTAATGTGGAACCACTGATATGGAGAGCAAACTAAAATTACACAGATTTTTCAGCTTCATTGGGGGTAGTTAGTGTCCCAAGCCCATGTTTTTCAAGGGTCAACTGTATACACAGTATAGTAGGCTATATTACTTGGTGCATAGTAACAAATTTCTTCAATACTCCAGAGCTTGAAGGCAGTATACTAGAAGAAAATGCAGAGTTTTATTTTGTTTTTAACTTACAAAATCAACTGATGTTCGTTGAGGAAATTTAGAAAATACAGAAGGAAAGGAAGAAACTTCATCATCTCTCCATAAAGTTTATTATTAACATTTTGGCATGTTCTCTTATAGTATTTTTCTTAATTAGAGATGATTTTTATATTTTCTGTTTTACCTTTAACATTTTAGCAGGTGACTTTCCTATATTACTACAAACTGTTTTAAACATTTTAAATTTAATCCATAATATCTGATTATGTAGATAATTTGCTTAACCACTTCTTATACATGCCTTTATGTTGTTTCTACTCTTTGACTATTACTGAGAATGAATTTATCTTTTGCTTACCCCCTACCCTCTGTGTGTGTGTGTGTGTGTGTGCGCACGTGCGTATGTGCGCACATGTGTTTCTGATACAGAGTTTTAGGAAAGGGATAGGAATAAGTTTAAATCTCTCAATGCATATCACCAGATTGGTTTCCAAAGGACTGTATCCATTTACCTTTAATGATGGAATGTGTGTTTTTAGCCATCCTCTTGTTTGTACTTTTTCTTGTGAGGAAAGTCTGAGAGGCGTCATTGGAATCTGTCCTTGGCTCACAGTGGGGCTGTGTCCTCCCACCTGACCCTGGTATTGGAGTCTCCTGCCTCACACTGGAAGCGTCTTTATTCTCCCTTGCTTCTAGATCCCCACCTTGATTGACCGGATGCTCGTGTCCTCCAACACAAAGACTGGGGCTGCGGGAGCTGAGGCCTTGTCCCTTCTACTGAAGAGGCCCTGGGACCCTGCCGTGGGGGTGCTTTCTCATAACAAACCAGTAAGTTGGACTTCACCATGGCCCGAGAAGTTTGTTTTAGATTCCAATCTCAGAACCTTGGCAAGAGGATAATAAATGGCGTGTTTAACTGTGTTCACTAATAACTGGCTGTGTGTCATGCTTAACATAGTTTCCTGAGCAAATCCACATTGGTGAGGATAAGATAGGTCGTGGGGTACGTGGGGTTCCGTGGGGGAGCCTCCCTCGCTCACTGGCTCTCTGATGGGGTCTTACTCTGTAGAGCAAACTCCCCGGCTCTCCTCTCATCCTCATTGCCTCCTCCGGGCCGTCCAGTTCCGTGTTCCCCACCTCACGCCGCCACCGCTTCTGGCAGTCTCAGCTGTCCTGCTTGGGCAAGGTATGTAGGGGGCGGGGGGCGGCTTGAGAGGCCGACGCGGGCTCATTGCTCAGTGCACTTAGTACACTCCTTAGTGTACGGGAAGCGGGGGCCGAGATGCAAGGCGGATGAGCTTGAATGTGGAGCATCCTCCGAGTCTCTGGAGTGCTGATGGTGCTTATCCAGGGTTGGAGGGTTTAGGGGGGGCTGAGCAGACTGGAGAGATGATGACTGGGGACTGAGCTCACGGCCTGGCAGCCTCTCTCTTTCCTTTAGGTCATCCCTGTCGCCACCCACCTGCTGAACAACGGGAGTGGAGTGGGAGTGCTGCAGTGTCTGGAGCACATGGTCGGGGCCGTGAGAAGCAAAGTGCTGGAGGTGAGGCTGCCCTCCGTCAGCTCCCCGTGGCACACCCGCATTCTGCGCCTGGCCACGGCTTCTGTCTCACTCTCTGCTTTCTCTCCCCACCAAGGTTCACAGCCATTTCCCCCACAAGCCCATCATCTTGATTGGCTGGAATACAGGAGCTCTGGTGGCCTGTCACGTAAGTAACCCCATCTTCTTCAGAGGTTGTCTGGGGATAAGCTGCTGCTGCTGCAGACAGCTACTTTTGAGCCAGACACTGTGTTGACTGCTTTGCCTGCATCCTTGGATTTTAAACTGTGGGAGACAAACTTTGTTTTTTAACTTTATTGTGGAAAATGTTAAGCAAAAATTTAAAGGGAGGATGGACTAATGTAATAAACCCTTTGGGCTCCTCGTTAAGCCCTACCAGAAATCGGCTCAGAGCTGAGATCTTTTTCATCTTACCTCTGCCCATTTTTAGCTCCCTCCAGTTATTTTGAAAAAAAAAACAAAACACCAAGTATTTTGTTTATATATATTTTAGTGTGAAGCTAAAAGACGCTTACTCCTTGGAAGAAAAGTTATGACCAGCCTAGACAGTGTGTTAAAAAGCAGAGACATTACTTTGACAACAAAGGTCCATCTAGTCAAGGCTGTGGTTTTTCCAGTAGTCATGTATGGATGTGAGAGCTGGACTATAAAGAAAGCTGAGCACCGAAGAATTGATGCTTTTGAACTGTGGTGTTGGAGAAGACTCTTGAGAGTCCCTTGGACTGCAAGGAGATCCAACCAGTCTATCCTAAAGGAAATCAGTCCTGAATATTCATTGGAAGGACTGATGTTGACATTGAAATTCCAATACTTTGGCTACCTGATGTGAAGAACTGACTCATTTGAAAAGACCCTGATGCTGGGAAAGATTGAAGGCAGGAGGAGAAGGGAATAACTGAGGATGAGATGGTTGGATGGCATCACCGACTCAATGAACATGAGTTTGAGTAAACTCCAGGAGTTGGTGATGGACAGGGAGGCCTGGCGTGCTGCAGTCCATGGGGATGCAAAGAGTTGGACACAACTGAGTGAACTAAACTGAACTGGGCACTGTGTATTAAGTTCAAAAGGGAGAGGTTTTCTTCACATAAGGGATAAGAGCAGCATTTGTATTCTCTTAGTTGCATTTGTTCTTAGTGGAGGAAAAAGGAAGGACTCAAGCCTTGCAGATTGCCATGATGGAAGCATTAAACCTCCCATCCTCCCAGAGGTTCGGGTGGGGTCCCCTGAGGGCCCCAGTTCTCTCAGTGGTGGCTGCTGGTGTAACCAGACATCCTGTGTTGTGCCTTCTTACTGCCCTGCTGTGTGGCTGGTACCCCTGTGTCGTCACCTCGGGGGTTGGTTGTGTCGTCACCTCGGGGGTCGTGTCATCACCTAGGAGCTACAGCGGGGGAGGAGGAGGTGGGACTGGCTGGTGGATTCTGGGTAGGATGTAGCTGTGGTGAAGTCAGTTGAGCTTAGGCAGACCACGCCATCATTTGCAGGTGTCGGTGATGGAGTACGTCACTGCTGTTGTCTGCCTTGGGTTTCCTCTGCTTACCGTGGACGGCCCCAGAGGGGTAAGCGCGGGGTCTGCGGGTTGCCGGGTCACCGGCAGGCAGGAGGACGGGAGGACGAGCCTGCCCCTCCCAGGCTCAGGGACCACAGCTGCCGGTGGACTGTCTTGAGTGGACTTGCAGGCAATGTTCAGCAAGTATGAACTGGCTGACTTAAAACTGGGGCCTGTTTAGGATGTGGACGATCCCCTCTTGGATATGAAGACTCCAGTCCTCTTTGTCATCGGTCAGAACTCCCTGCAGTGCCACCCTGAAGCCATGGAGGACTTCCGGGAGAAGATTCGGGCGGAGAACAGCTTGGTGGTGGTTGGGGGAGCTGATGACAATCTCAGGTGGGTAGGGTCCCTGAGCGATGCCAGAGTGCCATGTTGGAAAGATGCTTACAAGGTGGTGATATAACTATGCCCAACCTAGTTCAATGAAAGGGGGGCATTAAAAAACTTTAAAAAATTTTTGGACTAAGATTTCTAAAATGACTGTACCAAAAAATTCTATGTAATGTTCACCCAAATTTCCCAAATGTTACCATCTTGCATAACCAAAAAAGTAATTATCAAAGCTGGGAAGTTAACATGGATATGATACTGTAATCTAGTTTACAGACTCGCGTTTCGTCACCGTGTCACTGACACTTCTTTCGTCCTGGACCGAGTCCAGATCTCACGTGGCTCTCGGTTGCTGTGCCTCCTCAGCCTCCTCTACTGGGACGCTGCTCCTCAGCCTGTCTGTCGTGCTTGGTACCTTTTAGGAGTGCTGTTTTGTCGACGGTCCCTCAGGGCAGGGTTTTGACTCTGTCTGGTGAGCAGGTTGAGGGCACGCTTCTGGCAGGAGTGCATGGGGCTCATGCGTCCTTAGTGCGTCCTCGGGGCTGCCTGGTGTTGCTGTGTCTTGTCACTGGCGAGGTCACCGCTGCTCACGTAGTTAGGGTAGTATCTGCCAGGTTTCTCTACTCTTGATGTTTTTCCCTTTGGAGTTAGTCGTCATCTGGTGGGGAGAAGATATTTCAAGATGCTGTAATCATAGTCTTTGCCATTGGGCTTACACTGGGGTAGGCATTTCTTTACAGTTTCTTCCTTATTGAGGATGAATGTGAACAAAGATTTTATTTGCATTAGGCATCCTTTTATATATTTTGGAGTATAAACAACCAGAGTTTGGAATTGATTTTAGGGGGGCATGTTTAGTCCTTGAGATGGCTATTCTTCCCTTCTGGGTCTGCCAGCGGGGCCTTTAGTTACATTTTCATGAAATGTACTGAAAAAGAGATGGTGTCATTTATCGGCCTTCTTTCCTACACTTAGGTGTTAGGTCTTAGGTGTTAGCTTCCAGTGAATGTTTTAACTGAGAGCTTAGGGTGAGTGCCTGTTCCCACCTGTCCTGTCAGTTTCTTACCCAGAGATCCTCTGGAGAACTCCTCCTGGCCTTCGTCATCTGACAGTTTCTTGTGGACCCAGAGTCTAATCCTTGGGTGCTCAGGGCAATGCTTGCTTGTAAATACATTCTTTCTTGTTAATTCAGACATTCTTACCTGTAGGAGAATAGACTGTTGAGTCGTGGTGAGGAAGTGGGAGGGGTGAAAACGCCTTTCGTTAGAGTCGCATCGTGAGGCTGCTTGTGAGACGTATTTGCATGGTGCCAAGGGTGCTGGACTGAGAGTCAGCAGACCTCAGTTAAACCCTTGGCTCCTGTGCTTGGGTAAATCGCTTAACTCCCGGGACTGGGTGTCCTCATGTGTGATACGAGCATGTTACATGACAGGGTTAGAGGCCAAAAACCAGTGAGTTGGGGTCTCAGAATGTGGAGGCTCGGAGTGTTGTTCTTCATCTCTTCACTTGGTGGCCTGTTTCTGTCTGTGCTGAGACCCCCAGGCAGAAGCCAGGGGCTAATCAGTCTGGCTTTCAAAGAGGAGAATGCAGCCAGCTGTGGTCAGTTTCTCTGATCCCTTTAGAACTAACCTGTGGCCACCTTTCCTGGTAATCTCATTTCAACAGCACCCAGAAGTCTCAGGCTTTGGTACTGTCTTGGGGTACCTCAAGATGAGGTCTTAGCAATCAGATAGAGTTTACCTGTGAAGCCATAGGCGTAGGACTTCTGGAGTGAACAGTCCCAAGTACCTTCCGTGTTTTCTTTGGTTCATTACCTATGTTGCTTTGTGTCATCCCCACAACTCCATGAGGAGGTGTTAGGGTTCCTCATTTTGCAGATGTGGAACCTGAGGTCAGAGAGGTTGCAGACCTGCCTGTAGGCTACCTTTATCTTCCTTCTTGGGTTTAGAAAAGCAACACAGAAGAGAAACCCATTGTTTTTTTTTTTTCCATTTATTTTTATTAGTTAGAGGATAATTACTTTACAGTATTATAGTGATTTTTGCCATACATTAACATGAATCTGCCATGGATTTACATGTGTTCCCCATCCCGATCCCCCCTCCCACCTCCCTCTCCACCCGATCCCTCTGGGCCTTCCCAGTGCACCAGCCTCGAGCACTTGTCTCATGCATCAACCTGGGCTGGTGATCTGTTTCGCCCTTGATAATATACATGGAGAAACCCATTCTTTTTTTTTTTTTTTTTTTTAAATTTTATATATATATATATTTTTTCATTTATTTTTATTAGTTGGAGGCTAATTACTTTACATCACTGCAGTGGTTTTTGTCATACATTGAAATGAATTAGCCATGGATTTACATGTATTCCCCATCCCGGTCCCCTCTCCCACCTCCCTCTCCACCCAATCCCTCTGGGTCTTCCCAGTGCACCAGGCCCGAGCACTTGTCTCATGCACCCAACCTGGGCTGGTGATCTGTTTCACCCTAGATAATATACATGTTTCGATGCTGTTCTCTTGAAACATCCCACCCTCGCCTTCTCCCAGAGTCCACAAGTCTGTTCTATACATCGGAGTCTCTTTTTCTGTTTTGCATATAGGGTTATCGTTACCATCTTTCTAAATTCCATATATATGTGTTAGTATACAGTAATGGTCTTTATCTTTCTGGCTTACTTCACTCTGTATAATGGGCTCCAGTTTCATCCATCTCATTAGAACTGATTCAAATGAATTCTTTTTAATGGCTGAGTAATATTCCATGGTGTATATGTACCACAGCTTCCTCATCCATTCATCTGCTGATGGGCATCTAGGTTGCTTCCATGTCCTGGCTATTATAAACAGTGCTGCGATGAACATTGGGGTGCACGTGTCTCTTTCAGATCTGGGAGGAACCCATTCTTATTTACATTTGTCACTGTGGAATGTTTGGAAAGTAAACATTTCCTGTTTTTTGTCTCTTAGAATAAGCAAAGCAAAGAAGAAATCGGAAGGGTTGACTCAGAGCATGGTGGACAGATGCATTCAGGTACACAGTTGCTTTCCGTGGGTTTCTCAGCCGGGCTTGTCTGTGACCTTTTAGGCACAGTTTCCTGGGCAGCATCCTTCTGACTCTTTGGAGGATTGGGTAGCCCCTGGGGCCTTTGGGGGACCTAAGTCATAAGCAAAGAAAAGGGGGAAGGAGGGAGGGGAGGGCGAAGGAGAGTACTGATTTAACATGTGAGCAAAGTGGGTGGGGAGGAAGGGTTCGCTGAGGAGTGGTAAAGTGTGACCTCCCCAGAACACCACCCCGCACCCTGGGCACAGGGCCTGGGCTCCTGTGGGTCCTGGCTGAGGGTAGGGCTTGTGCCGGGCTTTGTGAAGTAGGAGGGACAGCACACAGATTTCAAAGCTGGGGTGACTCCATTTTAGTAGGAACTGTTGGGGAGCTTCCTGAGGCCTGGGCCTCTCCTTGCCCTAGGACGAGATCGTAGACTTCTTGACTGGGGTGCTCACTCGTACCGAGGGGCACATGGGCTCCGAGCCTCGGGATCAGGACGCTGAGAAGAAGAAGAAGCCCCGAGACGTGGCCCGCAGAGACCTGGCCTTCGAGGTCTCAGAGCGGGGCAGTCGACCTGCGTCACCAGCTGCCAAGCTGCCTGCCTCCCCCTCGGGCTCAGAGGTAACGCAGGCAGACGGGGTGCTTTTGCTGGGGAATCAGCAGAGTGGGTTCCGGTGCTTCCCGGGGAGGGCTGCTGGCCTTGCCAGGCCTTGGAGTTCCTGCAGGGGAAGTCCCTGACCGGGGAACTCCGGGGGGCTTGATGATTGATCGTCCCTCCAAACGGCCTTGACTCGGCCCTTGTCCTTCTCAGTCTACTCAGGATCTCTCCAGTGTGTCCAGCAGCCCCGCCTCCAGTCCCAAGACCAAAGTGACCACAGTGGCGTCTTCCCAGAAGTCCAGTCAGATTGCAAGCGCCCAGCTGCTGAAGAGGCACGTGCAGCGGACAGAGGCCGTGCTGACCCACAGGCAAGCTCAAGGTGCGGCTGCCTGGCCCAGGAGCCTCTCTTGGCTTCTGCCTTCTCAGTTGACATCATGTGGCAATTGGAAAGTATGGGCACCTGCTGCTTTTTCCAGACATATTTGTCCATGCAGAATTAGGTTGTAATAAATACCGAGGGCTGTTTTCAAGGGTAAAATATGACACAAGGTCTGTGCGTTGGTGTGACTGTGTGTTCCACTAATTATAACCTAGTCTTGGCATTTGGGCAAGTTCACCTTTATGAGCTGACTCCGTGTAAATTTGCCTCAGATATTTTTTCTGACTCCCAGTTGGGGAAGCTGTGTCTTCTCTTCAGGCCCAGCCTTTCCTGCAGTCTGGGAGGTCTCCGGGTCCTGCAGACAGGGGGCTGACCGTGCTCTTCAGATACCAGGGCAGCTCCAAAGCCTCGTGCCCGCCCTTGAGGAGTTAAGATTCCTACACTGGGACTTCCAGTGATGTTTTTCAGGAATCTCTGGAGATAGGTTTTCAATTAGGCTGGGAAATACTTGTTCAGTTGAAATTAGAGTTTGGAAAGCAGGGACCATGATGTAAGAAGCTGCCCTGCCCCACTTTCATCCAGTCAGCAGTCCTGAGGTGAGGCCTCTTGGGCCTGGGTCAGGAGCGGGCATCATCTGAGAGTCTCTGGCTGGGGAAGAGGTGGCAGCCAGAGCTGGCTGTCAAGCAGACAGACTCTTCCGCTGCATTTCTTCTAGTGGAGCCGCAGGGTCAAGACTTAGACCCAGGCCTCGTACAGGGTTGCCCGGAGGTGGCTGTGAGTGTGAGTGGATCGATGAGAGACACAAAAAGAGGCCAGGCCACTGAGATCCACATGGATGCTCTGTGACCCGCACCTTCCTCAGTGGTGGCCAGAGCCAAGTGGACACTGTCCCCTTCGGCTTTTGATGAAGAGAGAGACAGCAGTGTGTGATGTTTCTGGAGGCAAAGACTAGTCAAGGCTGGAAGGCCTTCTGCAAGGCTGACTGGGGAGCTGGGTGGAGAACGGGACCCAGAGTGGCACGGAGGAGAGCCACAGCACAGCTGCCTGGCACAGGCAGAGCTCGCAGGCAGGGGGTGAGGACAGCTGGGGTTCCCGGGCCCTTGCCAGCGCCTCGCCCTCCTCTTGGCACTTGACTTGCTGTTGCTCATGGAGTCCGGGCCGTGGCCCCATGAGGCAGCTACATGCGTTATTTCCAGTTTATGGATGACTCCAAGGAGCTGCTAAGTGGCAGAATCGGGTTTCAAATCCGTCAGTAATCCCAGGAAGAGCCCCTGTTGACCATTTTTCAGAACACTTTCACACCTTTTCTTACTCCCTCTCTCTCTCCTTTCCCTGGCTGGCCGTGATTCTGTAATTCTTTCTGATTCATTCCAGCTCAGTTTGCTGCTTTTCTGAAACAAAATATGCTGGTGAGGAAAGCTCTTCCTCCCGGCACCTCCTCCTGTCTCTTTGGTGAGTATCACTCCTGCCTGCACCCTCCGCGCTGCTTCTCTCCTCCCTCACCTCTTCTCAGCCCTGCTTCTCTCGTGTCTCTGACCCCCGTTCTCTCCACGTCTTTCTCTCTGCTCTGCTGTCCTTTGGCTTACTCCGTAGCCTCTGCCTTCCCCGCTCACTCTGATCGCCTCTCCCGGCGGTTTCCCCTTTTGTCCTTTTGTGTCTCACTGTGGGCCTTGGCTCTGCTTCTCCCGTGTGTGCCTGTGGGCATTGCCTGCGAGCCTGCACCTCCCTGTGTTTCTCGCCTTGCCTCTGATTTCCTGCTTCCGTCCTGGTCTCTGCAAGCGCTGAGCAGCATAACTGTTATCTCCTTTCCCTTTTGCCCTCCTCCCGGCGCATTCATCCCCTGAGCAGTCCTTCCTTCCCGCTGACGGCGGCCTCACTGTGGTCTGGAGGTTCCCTGTGGCCCCACGCCAGCCTCCCCCATCACTCCCACCTCCCATTTTTCGTGTGAGTCCAGCCCTCTGTTTCCTTCCTCCTGCCTTTCCGCCCCTCACTGCCTGTGCTGACAAGGACTGGTCGTGCTTCTAAGTGTAAAGAGGAGGGGATCTGTGAGCAAGGCTGAAGGATAACTTAACCATCTGGGAGGCTTTGCTCTGTGCAGGATGTGTCTGTTTGATTTGGTGGACAGGGAGGCCCACGTGTGAACAGATGGCCTTTTTCAGTCCTGTTACCACTGACCTGGGGACTAGCCTGTGACATGGGCCCCTGTTACTCTGTTACTTCAGGGCCGGAACTGTAAAGTTGTCTCAGCTATGATGCCCCCGCGCCTAGTAGTTACTCAGAGCCAGCCTGGAGTCCTGGTGATAGTCCTTCTCATGGTCAGCATTCGGCAAACAGACCCTCAGCCTGGGCCCTGAGGGGACTCAGAGCTCTGGGGACACCTCCCTCGTAGGGAGGCTGGAGTAGCCTGCTCCTCTGTTGCTTGTGCAGAACGTGTTGGCTGGCCTCTAGCTTGTGTGACATGGGGGAGGGCGGGAGGCTTGTCACGTTGCGTGAGTCCAGGAATGCCTGTTGAGGTCCACTGCGGTGAGTCCCATTTGTTCGGCACAGTCAGGATGGCATCTCCTTTCTTTCTGTTTCCACCGACTCAGAGCTCCTTCCTTCCGAGCCCAGGACGGGAGAGGAGGGAGCTGTCCTCGGAGAGGGCCATTGTGGAGATGAGCATAGGTGGGCCTGGCTTGGGTGGGACTGAAGGAGTGGCCTTCTTTGTGAACATGCTGGGCCGGTTCTTCCCACATGGCCATGCTGATGCTGGTCCCAGTCCTCAGGGTCTGTCAGGCTTCTCTGGATTGTAGAGAACTTCACCGCAGCTCCATCTCTCAGTTCCTATTTCATCAGAACAAACCGAGGAAGCTGAGAAAGAGGAGCTCAGGGTCCAGCTGAAGCGGCACCATCCCTCCAGTCCCCTTTCTGGCAGCAAGACCTGCAAGCGACCGAAGATCAAGGTGTCCCTCATCTCCCAAGGGGATGCAGCTGGAGGGCCTTGCACCCCTTCCTCAGGGGGCGCTCCAGAAGGTGAGTGTCTCTTGGCTTGCTTAAAAAAACCGACGGGACCATCCCAGAGACACAGCGTTGCCCCCTTGGCGGCTACTTGCTGGGCGGCTTCTCCTCTGCCTTGGTGCAGCAGGCGCCCAGAGAAAGACAGCAAGGGTTGCACGTCGGAGAGAGTGGGCAGTGAACTAGGATCAGGGAGCAGGACAAGGATCAGAGGGAGCTGGGGGTCGTTCACAGCGTCGTACTCTTTGTTTCTTTTTGCTTTCAATTAAAGGTGATAAAATATTCCAGGAAGTTTAGAAAATAGAAGGAAAAGATAACCCCCAACTCTTCCCCACTCTAATGTAGAGTTATCCTTCGTTTTTCATCTTTCAGTCTTTTCTAGAATATTTTGCATTTAGCCTCGACTCTGGGACCCTGAAAGGTCAGCACCAAACCGGACTGACGGGCAGCCTCGGGGTTTTCTGTTTTGCAGCCGCAGGAGGGAAGCCCCTCACCATGACGTTGGGACAGGCGTCCACAGGGGCCGCAGAGCTCACCGGGCTTCTCGCCACAGCCAAGTGAGTCTGTCTGCTAGCATGTCTGTGCTCTCCTTTCTCTTCACCTCTTCTCAGAGTCCACTGAGTGCTTTGGAAGACAGTGGATTCTGGAGCCTGTCTGTCCTGCGAATGTGACTTCTTTCTGAGTCGGTTTTTTCTTTGGGTCAACTCAGAGTTGACTTTTACTTAAAGTTTACGAAGTGTCCTGTAGCTCTTGCTTCAAGACCTGAAGTCTTTCCTTTAGGCCTGACTTAGAAGGACTGAAGGCTGGATTCAGAAGGTGACGAAAACACCGAAGTTCTAGCCCTGTGTCCATTGCTGAAAGCCTTGCTGGGCCCCCCACTGGACCCTCCTGCTATTGCCAGGGACCTTTAGGTGATGGAGCTCCTGCCTTTGTCTCCAGGTCAAATGCATCTGAAGGGGGCGTCTCAGCCAGCCAGGCATCCTCAGTGGTCTCCAGCAGCGCCACGCCCAGTGCCTTGCACACACTCCAGAGCCGCCTGGTGGCCCCCTCTCCTGGTGGCTCCCTCCCAGGTACCTGCTAACTCAGCACCCCCACATCCCGCCCCTATCTCCCAGCCAAGTCTCTCTGTGCTGCTGCTGGAGGGTGGCCCTGGGAAAGCACTGTGGAGCTAGGTCTCAGGGGTGCGCCTCTGGGTCTTAGGCTTATTGTAGAGGTTTGGCATAGAGTGGTAATTAACTTTGAGGTGGGGGAGTTCGGGGCCTTAACATCTGCAGTGAGTAAATGCCCTAGTCTGCAGGTGATGTCTCTTCTACTGTAAGGCAGGGGTCCCTAATCCACAGGCCTTGGCGGTCCTGCTCAGTGACCTGGTAGGAACTGGGCCCCACATCAGGAGGTGAGCTGTTGGCTAGTGAGCGAAGTTCCATCTGCCACTTCCCATTGGTTACATTACTGCCTGAACCATCCCCACTGCCCCCACTCCTGTTGTCTTCCACGAAAAATCCCTGGTGCCAGAAAGGCTGGGAACACTGCTGTAAGGAGAAATAGCAGGTAGGTTTCCAGCTGCGTTGGTGCTGTTAAGCATGTCTGGTTGAATGAAGCTGGAAATGGTGCTGCACAGGGCATCAGCAGAATGAGACATGTTTCTGCCAGGCTGATCCCCTCACCCTGCATTGAAAGTCTGGTTGCTCGAGCCCAGCAGCGTGCCCTGTTCTTCCAGAGGACCTTCCTCTTTGCCCTCAGGCCACTGGACTGTGTGTAAAAGGAAGTCTAAGTCAGGTATTGGATATTCTGTTGGCTTGTAAGTGAGTCCATGATCGCCTTGGTGTTACTGAACCCATCCAAAATGCAGGCCAGGTGGTTTGGAGCTGGCTGGGACGTGCAGAGTGAATCCAAGACAGTGTCAGGAATAGTGGGCGTCTGGCGTGCATGTGTGCATTCTGGCATCTCTCTGTGGGTACCGGAAATGTCCAGGGGAAAGAGTGTCGGTGTTTCAGTTGGTCACTGAGGATGGCAGGCATGGCTGCTCATGAGGAGGTGCCCCACCCCTTGCTGACATCTGTTGTGTCCTCTCTTAGGGGCCGCGTCAGCCAGCAGCCTTCTCCAGGGCCTCAGCTTCAGCCTGCAGGACATCAGCAGCAAGACCTCTGTCCTCCCGGCAAGCCCATCCCCCGGGCCAGCCCCACAGGTGCACGTCCGCCTCCCCTGGGCAGGATGGAGGGGAAGGGTGGAGGCCTCCTTGGCTTAGCTGGTTCTGGCAGGGACACTGGGTCAGGGACGGGTAGCCTCTGACTCCACAGCTGGGGACTGCCAGAGGCTAGTGACAGGTTTCTAGATCTCTTTGTATCTTTGCGTTCTTGGTTGTAAAATGAGGATAATGATAGTACCTCCCTTGCAGAGCTGATGTGGGGATTAAATAAGAGAATATGTGGAAATGCCTGGCAGAGTACCTTGCATGGGGTAGGCGCTCAGTACCAAGCACATGGGCCCGCCACACTCGACTATTGCTGTTGGTTGCAGCTTCTGACTAGCTGGGCTTGTGTGTCCCACAGGCCACTGGTGTGAAGTTGCCCACCCCCATGCAGAGCCTGGGTGCCATCACCACGGGTGCCAGCACCATTGTCCGCACCATCCCTGTGGCCACCACCCTGTCCTCCTTGGGCGCCACTCCTGGTGGGAAGCCCACAGCCATCCACCAGCTGCTGACCAATGGGGGCCTCGCTAAGTTAGCAAGCAGCCTCCCTGGCCTGGCTCAGATCTCTAACCAAGCATCAGGTGAGTCTCTCATGAGAACTGCGGGGATCTTCCCCCAAAACCGTCTCACCTCGCATGGGCAAGGTATGATGTTGAGCCCATTTCCACAGGGTCCTGGCCTTGACCTCAGGGGTTCAGCTCTGAGGTTCCACCCACCCCCAGGGAACATGAGAGTACACAGGCTGTTCCTGTTGCTTTTGGGCGTAGGTGACCCAGCTGGGGAGGAGACCAAGACGGGAGGCCAGGTGGGGGGTGTCACATGGGTGGTCAGGGGGACGCCCCAGGAAAGGGAAGTGGAGGCTGTGACAACACAAGCCTACCACTCTCTTTGTCTCTCAGGCTTGAAGGTCCCCACCACCATCACTCTGACACTGCGTGGCCAGCCCAGCCGAATTACCACGCTGAGCCCCGTGGGCACAGGAGCAGCCCCGTCAGAGGAGCCCACCTCCCAGGCACTGCCCTCCAACTCACAGGTGAGTCTGTCTGGGGAGACCGAGGACTTAGGCTCCAGTGTTGGGTGGCAGGGTCCAACTGGCTGGCTGACTGCAGGAGCTGGACTGGTAGGCAGGCCCGATGCCCCTCCACTCTTGGAGTTTGTGGCTTCGTTACTGTGATTGGGTTTTGGGTTTTGTTTTTTAATTGAAGTATAGTTGACGTCCAGTGTGTTAGTTTCAGGTGTAGAACACGTTCGGTTATATACCTTTTCAGATCCTTCTCCCTTTTGGGTTATTATGAAACTGTTGAGCATAGTTCCCTGTGCTGTACAGTAGGTCCTTGCTGGTCGGAGTTTGCAGCTTTGAGGCTGAGGGAGTCGTGGGCCTCGGTGCGGCTTCCCTGTAGCGCTCCTGGATTGTGTGAGGATCAAACACGAGCTGTGCTCAGCACCTGGTCAGTGCTGTCTCCTTCCCTTCTCTGCCCTTCTCTGCTCCGTTCTTGGCTTCACTGTGCAGAGGTTGCGTAGGAGCTAAGTGGTAATACCCTCTGTTTGACTCGCCAGCCTTGGGCTATCGCAAACCTTTGTGTTCATTGTTGTCTTTTCAGGGCAGTTAGGTTTCTATAGCTCTTACACAGGAAGCCACCATCAGTTTCTCTTAACTGATCTGATTTCCATTGTGACCTTTTCAAGTAAAATGTTTCTGTTTTAAATGGTGATCTGAGGGCCACCCAAAGATCAGAGGTTAACAACAACACACAGTCCTGACTCCAGCAGTGCGTGTGCTCTCCTGCGTGTCCAATTTTCAGCCGAGGCCTCCTGCCTGGGGCCCTGGTGTGCAGGCTTCCGTGGCTGAGGGCTTACCGGTCCCCTCGCTGCTGCCGCGCCAGCCCCGCCCTGGATCTGGGCACCAGTGCCCTCCGACCTGAGCCAGGAGCTCTTCTGCCTCTTCCTCCCCAGGGGAAAGTACTGCTCAGAGGTGGTTACCCTGGCTTTGTGCAGAGAAGCACAGGTGATTTAATTTATTTTATTCTCTATTCTTTTTAATTATAAAAGTGATTGCACTTACTTTAAATAATCCAAAAGTTATAGAAATCATATAATTTGTAAAGTGAAAATTCCCCATGATACCACTCCCAGAGATGATAACCCCTGTTGGTAGCTTGATATGCATTTTTCTAGATTCTTCTTTCTACAGAATTCATTATTTTACTCTTTTGACAGAAATTAGACCACAGAATATGGCTATTTTGTCACTAACCTTTGTTTATGAAACATGTGGTGTCTTTCCCTGTCCTTTACTTGGAGACTTGTCTATTTCTTGTCAGTGGCTTTCACTGGGTTAATGTACTAAAGTGTATTTCACCAATTCCTGTTAGAGAGTTATGTTTTGTTTTTCAGTAGAGTAAATATTGGTATGGTGCTACCCTTTGTTTATGATTTTTGTGTACCTCTGGGAGATTTCTATAGGCTGAAGACAGTAAGCTGGGGCCTGTACATCTAACATGTGGCTGTTGTTTAGTCGATAAATCGTGTCTGACTCTTTTATGACCCCATGGACTGTAGCCTGCCAGACTCCTCTGTGCATGGGATTTCCCAGAACATCTGGCTAGCTGCTGACTGATTGTCCTTCAGAAGGTTTGTTCATTTACAGTTCAAGCCACAGTGATGAGAATACCTCTTTTCCTCCATGTTGTTGATTATGAAAATCAGTATTTTTAATTTTACTAATTTGATAGGTGAAAAGTGAAATTGTTTTAATGTGCATTTTCCTGTTGCTTATGAGGTTGTGTCTTTAATGAATTGCTTGTCATATTCTATATCTACTCAATTCATAGTAGCTTTATATATGCAGGTGTTTATCCTTTATACAAATACACAAATATATTATACAAGTTGTACATGCTTTGTTCCAGTCAGTTACTTTTTTTTTTTTTTCTGTTGAAGTATTAAGTTGCTTGTCTTTTAATTTTTGTTTCTGGGTCTTTTATCAAACAGACATTAAAAATTGTGTATGTAGTTACTTATCTTCAGATTCTTCCATTTATGACTCTTAAGTTTTGTGTTTTAAGAAAGCTCTTCACATTGTAAGGATACAACCTTTTTATGTTTTAAAAATTTTAATGTCCAAACCTGTGGTAACATTTGCTTACAGACAGTTTTCCATTTTACCCCCTTTAAACTGGTGGTGCGGTGCCGTGCACATTGCTGTCCCGCCATGACCATGCACCTCTGGAGCTGCCCGTCACCCCTTGCTGAAACTCTGAGTGTGTTTTCTTAGGTGGCTTGTGTCCGTTTGCTTACCTTCAGTTGTTCAGTCCTTTTGGAATCTATTTTTCATTCTAAGTGAGGTAAGGATCTCACTTACTGAGTCCATTCATCTTCCATTCATTTGAAGAGAGCAGCTCTCACCTTCTAGATTGCTGTACACATGGGGCCTGTTAGTACCCTTGACCTGTTTCAATACTACTTGATTGTTGTTTGATAATGCATGTTCTTAAGTATCAATTACGTTTCTAGCTCCCTAAGGTCATCTTTATTCTCTTCTTTTCTTTTTATAAATAATGAGTTTTAAGATTTGTTCATTGCCTTTTTGGAATCAAAGGAACTGAATGAGCACAACTATTTCTTTTAAGTCAGTTAAAATGATTAATTACTTTCAAACATTTCCTAATATCAAACTGTCTGAATTCCAGATTCAGTAGTTTGTTCAGTATGTCCTATTCTGTTTTTGTTTTTTGCACATTCCTAAATTTTACTGTACATGTGTAAGAAACAGGAACTTCAGAGGTAACGCATGTCTAGTCTTGATTTACTTTTGTCTTACTCAGGGTTTTGACGTCTATGTCTGTTAGTAAGATTGGCCTATAGTTTTCTTCCTCTCTGCTCTTGCTTTTTGATGTATGTCCTTTCCTTGTCCAGTTATAGAATATGGGAAACATTTTCTTTCTCATATTCCAAAACATTTATATAGCACAAAAATTACCAGTTTTTTGATGGTTGGATGGAAATGACCTGTAGGCCATTTGGGCCTGTTTTCAGGCCGTCTTAACCTTTGCTGATGACATGTTGATGCCCAGCTAGAAGACAGATCCTCACGAGTTATGTTCCTTTTCTTTCAGATGGTCCTCTTCAACTTGCTCTGGCTGGGGGCAGGCAGGGGAACCTAGTTAGAGTTGAGAAGAGAGCAGAAGTCAGCGAGAATTCTTTTCCATGGCTAAATTGAAGGATGGAATAGATCTGACTTCTACTTGATGGTATTTACTTGAGAGCTTAGTTTTTAGCTGAGTAAAATGGGTGTGTCAATTACTGGAGGGTTCTAGTGGTGATTGTTTTCTTTTAGACAAAGGAGGTGTTTCTAGGTTAAGGCTTGCTGATTCAGAAGTGTTTAACAGTTACTTCAGTGTTCAGACTGCCAGACAGCATGACCGCAGGGAAAGCTCAAGCCTTCTGTCTTCGGTTAGCTGTGTGACCCTGGACAGATTGCCCGGCCTCTCTGCATTTTCTCATCTAGTCGAGTGAGGAGGTTGGCAGAAGTCAGTGACTGTTGTGGTGGTGGGCTTAGTAGGGGCTGTTTCGGAAAGCTTTTCTGGCTCTGGGAAGATGGAGTTCTAAAAGTTGAGAAACAACCACCTATTTCTGATGTTTATAAGACAATTGGAGATTTGAACACTGGATTATTGTTGATTAAGAAATTGTTAATCTTTTTAAGGTGTGATAATAGTTTTAAGTTTGAAAAATAATCTCTTTTAAATTTGGAGCTTATAGACTACAATATTTATGGAGAAAATGAATTTAAAAAGAAAAAAAGTTGTAAACACTGATAGACTTCTCTAAGGTCTGTGCCCTTATTTACCTCTGTTGTTCCTGGTGGAGATGAATACTTAATGTTTGTTTCCTTATGAAACTGGACCATTATGTGGCCCTACAGCTGCGAAGCTGCAGGAGAAAGGGGAGACAGACAGTGTAGTGCCCTGCATCAGGGTCCTGGGAATGGACTCCTTGACTGTGATCACAAGGTTTTCCTGTCTCTGGCCACTCAGTGCCCTCGTCAGGCTGGCAGGCAGCCTCCGCCTGGCGGGGTCATTGCTTGCAGCACTCCTGATCGGGACAGAGCTCATCTGTGTACATTCCAGCCCGCCTTGGGGCAGGGCCAGCACGCGGGCGACGGAACCTTTCAGGTTTTGATTGGCAGGCCTTTCTTCATTCCTCCTGCTCACCTGTGTCCTCTCTCTTCCCCTCCTTTACTGCATCCTCAGAGACCTCTTAGGAGTTTTCCAAAGGCGGAACTAGACAAATAGGGAAAACATTTGTGGAAAAAGGCCAACTCTCTACTTCCTTCTTCCCAAGCTGCAGGGCTCAACAATTCATGGCATCTTCCACAGCACTTAAAAAATGAACATGACCTAGAGCAATGATACTGCCAGAGCAGTCACATAAAACTTCTCTTCAACTCTGCCACCCTTAAGAAGTCACCTGTTCCCTTTTCCCTGCATTCGTTCCTTTTTCCTTATATAATAATAAGAGCCAATGACTGTGGTTGACACCTAGGCGCTTTATGCAGATTGTCCCGTGTAATCTCACAACAACCCTGGGGAGTAGGTGCTCTCATGTCTGTCTCACAGAGGAAGGAAAGGAGGCTCAGAGGATGGAAGTCACTTGCCCTGAAAAGCGGTGCAGGGGACTCTCTGACTCCAGAGTCTGTGTTATACTCTTTACTCGGCTTCTGGAACACCGATCCTTGTACACCTCCCTTTTCCCCCACTGACCATTATTTCTCTGGAGCGCGTTCTCAGGGGTGGGGTAACTGGCTGAGTAGGGGGTCAGTTGTGCTGACCTGGCAAGCTGTTGACCTTGTTCACTGCCTCTCCCGCCACAGCGCCTGCCTCCAGCCCCCTGAGGACACTGCCACATGTCTCCCTTCACCAGGCTGGTGACGGCTGCTGCACGGTGTGGCCTGGGCGGCGGTGCGCTCCTGCCGAGCTGTCCACTTGTCCAAAGACCTCTTTAACACAGTCACTTTTGCCTCTCTGTCAGCTGTCTTCAGGACTGGACCTCCGGGTCTTGTGTAATCATGAGGCAAGGTGATACAGCGCCAGCAACAGGACCCTGTGCCCCAGTCGCTACAGGTCTGATTCCAAGAATCTCCAGGTCCCCAGCACATCTGGCTGGGCATGAATCTGAGGCACTGCTTCCCTCTCAGTAGCTGTAACTTGACCCAGGAAGCGGCGTCGGACTGCTCACTGCATCGTAATAAAGGAGCACCTCTTGGAAATGTGTGCCGCCCCGCACAAAGTTAGGAGGAGACATCGTGTGGTCCCGGGCTGTAGGAGTTGGGGTCAAGAGCCCTGTGCTGAGGGCAAGGATCATCCCGGCCCCCCAACTGGCGGCTCAGTGCCAGGGGGCTTGTTCTGTCTGTCGTTGTCCACCAAACAGTCGTGGGAGAGGTCTTTCCAGGCAGCACTCTCCGTAGGCACCACACTGGATGCCAAGTACCTGCTGAGACCTGGAGACTCCTCACTCCAAACCCGTGAGAGGGACAGAGAAGCGGACTGCCATCTCTCAGTCCCTTTGGCCACTCAAAGACACGGGGAGCAGCAGTTGCTGGGAGGTGAGAGCCAGCTTTTCTCTTTTCCATCACGTTTGGGCAATTCTTGTATTCAGAAAGCCTGCAGGCTCAGAAAGGCTGACGAGAACGAAGGGGACAGCCAACAGAGTGTCCTGGAGGGCACGTCAGCTGTGGAGGTGCTTTGGGCTTGAGGCTTTGCATCTGGCACCTAAGGAATTGTGGTTTCAGCTGGAGATGAAAATTTTCCGGGCCAGAGGAAAGAAGCCCCAACCCCTGAAATTTCCGCGCTCAGTAGTGGAGTGGGGACAGCTGCTCAGTGAACACCTTGGCCGTTCGTCCCGTGAAACCCTGACATCAGGACAACAGATGCCACGCTTTGGTGTTTCTGTTTCAGCTCTGCGTATGACTTCTTGTCTTCTTGCTTAGAAGTGGGAAGATGACTAGCATTGGCTCTACTGTGCAGGGTGCTCAGTACCAACCTGAGCCCTGGAGGTGCAGGTCCCTGGAGAAGTGATTACTGAGGATGGAGCCCTGAGCCCTGCCTTACCTCCTCACGACACTTGTATGCAAAAGTTTTTTAGATTTGGTTTAGAAGCTGTCCTCCAGAGCAGGCTCCTTTCCCTTTTGTACTCTAGAAAGTTTCCAGCCCAGGTGTAAGGCCCCCCACGTATGACTCTTGAGTATCTGTAGGCAGGGAGGACCCACAGCATACCATGGCTGGACTTGCGCAGGTCCTGGCCTGAGGGCAGCGTGTATCCACAGCAGGCCACCTGTGTTCAGTCCAGGAGGCTCCGTCCAGTTCGAGTGGCAGCCGGGAGGGGGCCTGTGGTAGAGGAGTCTCAGACACAGCGGACTTGGTCCAGGCCGGGCCCGCGGCAGTGTCTGCCGCAGGCATGGAGCGGGCAGGTGTCACACTACACCCTCCCTCCCGGCCTCCTGCCTAGCTGGTCTCTGAAGTGAATCACACAGAACTAGCCTGCATCCTTGCATTAGTGGGCAGGCAACTGCTTTCTGAAATTCAGGCAGCATTTAGTAAGTTGGAGGAAGATATGAAAGGTGAAAAAGACGTCCAGGGTCAGGGGTTTGGTGACTTGACAGGTAGGATAGTAACACACCAGGAGGAACTGAGGACAGTGAGACTGTGAGACCTGTGTGAAGCTTTTAGCAGTCACTCGGGGCAGGTTCCTGAACAGCCTATTCATGACTTAGGAGTACTTTCTAGACAGCACCAGAGGGTTGCTCTGAAAGATGCTGACCCGCTGTGGGCTGGGGCCAAAGAAGAAGCTGAAAAAGCATCCCGCATCTGTCTCAATCCTAGCAAGCTTCCCACGAATGATTTCCTGAGGCTTGGCTTATACACCGGGAAGGATGCCAAAGCTGGAGAAGGGGAGCAGTGAGAACCTTGGTTCTGCTGCACTGTGGAGGGACGGGCTAAAGGAGGAAGTAGTTGAAGTCCCTGAAATCATGCTCCCCAATTCCACACTTCTCCAGCCACATTTCTCGAACTGGAGAAGGAAGCTTTCCTCTGCCAATCACATAGCAGACCTAGAGTCCCTGACCTTGGAAGGCAACACTACTGGCCAAAGGTGTAGAAGGATCCAGAGAGCTTTAGCTGAGTTCTTGGGTGACGGGTGCGTGTTGATGCCCTGTGAAAGCAGTCTTTGTTTGAAGATGAGGTCGCTGATGGAGTAAGACCTGTCCTCGGCTCCACCGCTGGGACAGCCTTGGGCTGGATGGGGTATTGAGCTGAGCTGCTGTGACAGTTCTGTTTTTCCATTAGCCAAAACAATTAAAAATAAAAACAGATTTTGGATTGCTTCAACATGTCTTCAGTCAACTTCTTACTTTTATTCTGGTAACCACCCAGTGGAATGGCACAGAAAACAAAAGGTAAAATATGATGGTAATTCCACTGACCATCTTACTGATGCCTGCAATACCCACGAGGTGGGTGCTGTAATTCCCCTTTTACAGATAAGGAAACAGAGGCACAGAGAAGCCACACAGCAGGACTGAACCCAGACAGTCTGATACCAGTGTCTGTTCTTCTCTGCACCGTGCTGGGATTCTGAAATGGGAGACTGGAAGTGGAAATTAGCGCAGGAGGTGAGGAGATGGTGACTTGGCTTTGATGTGACCCCTTTCTGTTTAGACTCTAGGCCCACCAGGCCTAGAGTGATTGCTGCTACCCTGGTGGGCTCTTGGCTGGGCTTGAGTCAGTAGGTGGGGGTCCCTCACCCTTGGTCCTGAGAGATGGAAACCTCTTTGCACATCCTATCCCTCTGCTGCCCTCCAGTAATTAATGACTTAGCAATGAATGAAGGAATTCCAACCTCCGTGTTATCTGTGATCTTGTATCTAAGAGGACCTTCCTGAAAGGAAAGTGAAAGTGTTAGTTGCTCAGTCCTGTCCAACTCTTTGCAACCCCATGGACTTTGCAACTTCTCTGCCCATGGGATTCTCCAGGTAAGAATACTGGAGTGTTGCCATTTCCTCCTCCAGGGGATCTTCCCAACCCAGGGATCCAACCTCGGTCAGGTGACCATTGCAGGCAGATTCTTTACTGTCTGAGCCACCAGGGAAACCCTTGGATTCCAGGTACCCACCTTCAATACTGGAGCCCCCGTGGGTGGAAACTGTAGTTCTGGTATACTGCTTAAAAGATCTTCAACATGTGAACTCTTCTTGTTTCCTTCCTTACTGAGACCTCATCTTACTTTCAGCTCCAGTCTCACCGACTTGGGTGTATCAGATGAAGGGAGAGGTGAAGATTAGGTTGTTTAAACGTTAACAGTATAAGGTCAGGGCCATAGCAGATTAGGATGCAGAAGAAATCCTGTTGCCTTTTTATCTCCCTTTCCAAAGCATATGTTTTAGTCAGGGTGATGGTTGGAAGAAGCAGGAAACTACCGAAATTAGTTCTAAAAGGTGATATTCTCTCAAAAGGTATCTTCACTGACCGGGAGCCTGACAGTTTCCACTACTTGCCTGATGACGTCCACTGACCTGGAATGGCCAGGGACCTGTTTTGATCCTGTCATCACAGGATTTTTTTGTCATCCCTTTGTGAGTGGCCAGTTTCTGTCTTTCATTCAAATTCTGAACACAGTGAATCTGGTTGGCTCAGTCCCACTTACAGGTTGGTTCTTATATCCTTTCTCACCCCAGTTTAATAACATCAGAAGATGAAGTCATATGGCCCGTGTTTTTGCCTTTCTAAGGGATTAAAAAACAAAACTACCTGAGCTATTTCGATGTGTATGTTTAACTTACCTTGAGAGCATAGGGAAGTCCCATGTTCATTTCATCCAGTATCCTCCATTACTTAAGTTCCCATAACTAATAAATAGTACAGTCTAAATCAGTAAAGATTGACAAATTTGACTACATAGAAATTTAAAGCTGTGGTTAAAAAAAACACCTTTTTTAAAAGTGTGAAATAAATTGTGTATGTCTGTGTGAAAGAAAACAGAAAAGGATGGAAATATACATATCTACCTGTTGGTAGATGTCTCTGCAGAGGATAAAAGGATTAGGGAGAAAGAAATCTATATACAAACCCCAACAAATTTTAAACGACATAATGAGGCATCACAGTGCACCTAGGAGAATGGCTAAAACAAAAAGCAGAGACAGTATAAGGATGCTGGGAAAATGTATCTCTTCTACATTACTGGTGGGACTGTCAAATGGGTTTGCTCTAAGTTTTTGCTATGACTACATATTACTTGGAATATCCACGTGGCTCAGTAATAAAGAACCCGCCTGCCAATGCAGGAGATGCAGGTTCTATCCGTGGGTCAGGAAGATCCCCTGGAGTAGGAAATGGCTACCCACTCCAGTATTCTTGCCTGCAAAATCCCATGGACACACAAGCCTGGCAGGCTACAGTCCGTGAGGTCGCAAAGAATCAAACATGACTGAGCAACTACACAACAACAACAAAAATGAATGTTGTTGTTGTGGATTAATGTACCATAGTTTTTGTTAACTGCTCACTTGTTGAGTGGCATCTTGATTGTTTCCAGTTTGGGACTATTGCAGATACAGCTGCTGTGAGCATTTCTAAGTGGGTTTTTGTATAAACTTTCATTTTCATGTCTGGAATGAATGCCCAGGAGTGTGATTATCAGGTCATGTGGTAAATTTTTATCTTTTGAAGAAACTGTCAAACATTTTCCTAAGTAGCTCTTCCATTTTATGGTCCCACCAGTAATGTAGTCAGTCAGTCAGTTCAGTCGCTCAGTCGTGTCCGACTCTTTGCCACCTCATGAACCGCAGCATGCCAGGCCTCCCTGTCCATCACCAACTCCTGGAGTCCACTCAAACCCATGTCTGTTGTGTCAGTGATGCCATCCAACCATCTCATCCTCTGTCGTCCCCTTCTCCTCCTGCCCTCAGTCTTTCCCAGCATCATGGTCTTTTCAAATGAGTCAGGTCTCCGCATCAGGTGGCCAAAGTATTGGAGTTTCAGCTTCAACATCAGTCCCTCCAGTGAACACCCAGGACAGTAATGTAGAAGAGATCCATTTTCCCTGCAGCCTTATACTGTCTTTGTTTTCATTTGAGCCATTCTAGGTATATTGTGATATCTCATTATGTTGTTTAAAATTTGTTGAGGTTTGTATATGGTCTAGGATCTGGTAGTTCTGTCCTCTTGATATATTTTCTATAGGTTCTTGAAAGATTATACTGTTGGGTGGAGGGTAAATGGTGATAAAATTCTTGTTAGTTGATGGTATTGAGTTCTTATAGCTTATACCCTTGCTGATTTTCTTCAAGTTCTGTTGGTTGAGAGAGTGCTGTTGAAATTCCCAGCGATAACTGTGGAATTGTCTGTGTCTCCTTTAAGTTTTTGCTTCAAATATTTTGCAGTTCTGTTATCTGGCACAAACCACTTAGGATTTCTGTGTCTTTTTTGTGGATTGACCTTTTTATCATTATGTAATGTCCCTCGGACTGCAAGGAAATCCAGCCAGTCCATCCTAAAGGAAATCAGTCCTGAATATTCATTGGAAGGATTGATGCTGAAGCTGAAACTCAGTACTTTGGCCACCTGATGTAAAGAGCTGACTCATTTGAAAAGACCCTGATACTGGGAAAGATTGAAGGTGGGAGAAGGGGACGACAGAGGATGAGATAGTTGGATGGCATCACCAACTCAATGGACCTGAGTTTGAGTAAATTCCAGGAGTTGGTGATGGATAGGGAGGCCTGGCATGCCGCGGTCCATGGGGTCGCAAAGAGTCAGACATGACTGAGCGACTGAACTGAACTGAATGTCTCTCTGTACCTGGTTATTTTCTTTGCCCTGAAGTTTACTTTTATCTGACAGACTTCACATGTCACATCTGATTCAGTTTCTGGTTTTGGTATTTTTTTGTACTTTTAAAAATTGTATTTTATTATTTTTGGCTGCTCTGGGTCTTTGTTGCTGCACGTGGGCCTTTTGTAGTTGTGGCGAGCTCGGGATACTGTTTGCTGCAGTGCATGGGCTTCTCATTGCAGTGGCCTCTCTCCTTGTGGAGCACCGGCTCTATGGCGTATGGACTTCAGTAGTTGAGGCTCATGGGCTTATTTGCCCCATGGAATGTGGGATCTTCCTAGACCAGGGATCGAATCCATGTCTTCTGTGTTGACAGGCAGATTCTTAATCACTGGACCACCAGGGAAGTCCCATGATTATCTTTTTTGTACCCTTTCTTCTGTTGCCAAACATCTCCAATTATTTTCTACAATAAATTCCCAGAAATAAGACAATTAGTCAAAAGATATGAATATTTTTTATGACTTGCTGTTATCCAAGCAGCTTGTGATAAGTTATGCCCTCACCAATGTATAATGCTGATTGTTTGTTTTTAATTACACCTCAGTTTATATTTTTAATTTAGAACAATGGAACAGGGGAAGAAGATGTTTCCTTTTTCTTTCGGCATACCTCAGTTCCCAAATTAGAAATTTCCTATTGAAGGAACCACATATCCCAAGTTCTAATTTGGGACATTCGGGAATGTGATAAGGGAGATGGAGAAATGGGTGATCTTTGATTTGATATCACAGCTGCTTACATACATGAACACAAGCCTGCATGCACTCACATACATGAACACTACACATGTGTACAAATGTTCGTGCCTCACACCCTCACAAGCACATTACACATGAGTAATTGCATTTGTGCGTGCACCAGCAATTTACTCCTAGCTTTTGTCTTATTCTATTTGGTCTGCTATAATAAAGTGCCACAAATTAGGAGGTTTATAAGTGAGAAATTTATTTCTCACAGTTCTGGAGGTTGGCAAGTCTAAGACCAAGATGCCTACAAATTCAGTGTCTGGTGAGGCCCCCTTCCTAGGCTGTCTCTTAGCTGTAATCTCCCTTGGCAGAAGGGGGCAAGGGAGCTTTCTCAGCCTCCTTTATAAGGGCACTAATCCCATCCACATGGGCTCTTCCCTTCATGACCTAATCATCTCCTGGAGGCCCTGCCTCCCTAGTACTGTCACACTGGAATTAGGTTTTCAACATCCGAATTTGGGAGGGCATGACATGAGGCCATGGCAGATCCCTCATGGAGCCCCTGGCTGGGCAGGAGGCTTCAGCATGGCCAGGCCATCCTCAGAGTTTCTCTCTGGCTTCTTTTGTTCCCTTATCCTTCCCAAAGTCCCCACTGCTACCAGTTTCAAAAGTTTTAA